TTGCTTCATGAACGTTACTGAACCAAACTACACTGGATAAAAGTTGTTTCTATATTGTGATCTTGTGTTTACCCAGGAGAGGACGTGACAATGGGCTGTAAGATTTTTATTTATATATTTATTTATATACAAGAAGGAGCATAGGGTTTATGAGAGTACATAACGTTGGTGTTCTTACATTCTTGCAGACACATAGCGTATCGGGGAGGTCCTTAATCTAACAGATAAAGTAAATTTATTAATAGGTACACTGCACCAAATTTGAGTTCAACATGATAACTACAATAAAAATTTATGGAAATGATTACACTAGTAAATTTGCATGTCGTAAATAATTAGGTTCTTCTTGGATTTACGTCTGAATAAGGCATAGGATGGAATTTTTATTATTATTATTACGGAGTGAGTTCCATAGCCTAGGTACTTTTATTTGCATGGAGTTTTTGCACAGCAAACATCAGCTGCAGCCCACCCAGGCCACTTAAGATAACACCCAACGGTACCTTCACTATCCCTGGAAGAAATCGTCAAATTACTTTGAACTTTGCGCAGCCAGGGAGAAGTAATATCATTAATAAACGTCAAGATATTGATTCCCATAACTCTAGGCTGCATTATGACCATTGTGGTCCTATTATCCCTTCATTGCATTACTAGTACCATAGCAACCATATGGTACCATACCAACCAGTAAGTCCGTATTTGTTACTGTTCTCAGAAGGGTTTATGAAATATTTCCTGTGTTTATGCGCTCCATTGCCGCGTTTCCGTGTGCTTGAGCCGTGTATAAGTAATCACGCCCAGCACCGAGTCACATGTGCCCGCAAATCACTCAAGACAAGATAGAAGAGAAGCCGAAGGTCGGCTGCCTTTAGAATTGATATTTACGGCTCAAAGAATGAAATTCAAGGCCAAGGAGACTTTCCAGGTGGTGCGTCAGGTCGTAGCCTGAGTCACGGGGTTACGATAATATACAAATTAGCAGGCATGAGATGGTATGCTAATTTTTGAAAGGAAAATAAGTTATCAGGAGAACGGGGGGTCAGTATGTCTTAACACATGGGAGGTAAACGAGGACATAACAGTAGAATGGAGTGAAGTAGCAGAGCCCAACCACAGGAACCATAGTGGATCGACCGTCGACCTGTAAGAAGGGAAGTCTTCGCTGTACTGACCAATCTAAGTGGATGGACATGTTAATATGTAAGTCTTGCTTACTGAGTGCAGACCTTAACATATCTCAATACCTCTCAGAGATGTTCACGACCAGCTGGTGGGTGTTGTATCGCAAACCGTCCTCAGACTATTGGGCGCAGCCTATCCTCTATGATGTGACTATGATGTGACGCGCTATTACTCCCTCATCTATCCTTATCTCAACTATGGTATTTGTGCTTGGGGTTTTATATATATATATATAAAACGCTGAACTGTAATGTCAATCCTGACCTTAAAAGCTTCATTGAAGGTTGTAACAGAACCCATGAGCACCACACCAGAAACAAATACCTTTTTGATATTTCAAGAGTACGACTTAATCAAACTAGAAATGCTCTACAAATCAAGGGACCCAGAATGTGGAATGACCTTCCCAATCATGTTAAAGACTGTATCTCTCTCAACCAGTTTAAGATAAAAACTAAGCACTACTTAATTAACTCCCTGTAACCTACCTTACCCTATAATGTCAACCCATGTCTGTTATTTTTTTAAACAATGCTGTTTGTTGACCAAATTGTATTTTTCTGTTTTTCTGCCATGTTCCCCCCGCCCTTTTTTATTTTTTTTATTTTCTTAACACATTTTCTACTTTAATCTCAATTAGTATTAAGTTTTAGTCTTTAGTGTTTTTCCTGCCCGAAACGCATTGCGTAATAGTGGCTTTAGCCATTGTATGTACTAGCTCTATCTATAAATTCATCAATATTTGTATCACCCCTTGTATGTATGTACTTTACCTAAATAAACATTTGAATTTTTTTAATTTGAATTTTGAATCCTACGACCATCGTCTCGTCGCCCATTACTTAACAACAATATATTCGTCCAAGATGCGGCCATCCCCGAAGACGCATTCGTAAATTTTCTGGCTGGGTTGTAGCGTTACAGCCCTCTGGTCTGGCCACACTGGCCCGCTACTATACCACCATCTATTTTGTAAACTGGTTGTGTAAACCATTATAATTCTGGGATTCACTTCTGCGTTTCCACTTAGAAATACTTAACAGGGTGCAGGTGTCAGTTGCTTTACGTGGCGTATTTAGTTTATTATTGAACTTTCACACATGCCCTATTTTATAGCACATTAACATAAGACTACAATGGTTGTTGGTTATCAAATTCATTTTCTTATGAAAGTTCATTATTTTTTTTACGTCGTTTACTAATGTTTAACTTGAGATATTTTAACACATTTAACGGCACGAATGTCATCAGCAGCTCTTGAGCCGGCTTCTGACAAGCCACTGGAATGAATGTCTTGAAATTTCAAGTTGATGGAAGAGAAACAAAGAGGCAACAATTATCATGAATTGACTGAATGATGAAGTAGTAACTGTATGATGAAGCAGGGCTGTGGTAGTGGTGGTAGATGCGTTGCGGTAGTAGATAGGTTGTGATGGTAAATGGGTTGTGGTGGTAGATGCGTTGTGGTATTAGATAGGTTGTGGTGGTAGATGGGTTCTAGTAGTAGTAGAAGGTTTTTGGGTGGTAGGTGGAGGGTAAGCAAAGACTTTTGTACAGTACTCTAGAAAAGTACGGGCCGCCCTGCTCAAAGCAGTGCGTACTTATGGCATAAAAGGAATGATAGTTGTGCGGATGAAATATAAGGTCCCCATGGCGTAGTGGTAGGAAACTCACCTGGCGTTTCGTGAGCGGCTTTGGCCTGGGTTCGTATTCTGGTCGGGGAGGATTGACTGTCAATTCTTAACTGATTGACTGTCAATTTTACTGTTTACCAAACAGTAAAATGGGTACCTGGTTCTTAAACGATTTGGCGGGTCGTATTCCGGGGAAAATTAGGATTAAGGGCCTGCCTAAAACGCTATGCGTGCTGGTGGCTGTACAAGAATGTAAGAACTCTTGTGTATATCAATAAATAAATGAGAAACAGACGTTAGCGCAGGGTACATGACGTCACGGGGTTCCCCGGCTTTGAGCGTTTTTTTTTTTTTTTTGAGATATATACAAGAGTTGTTACATTCTTGTACAGCCACTAGTACGCGTAGCGTTTCGGGCAAGTCCTTAATCCTATGGTCCCTGGAATACGATCCCCTGCCGCGAAGAATCGTTTTTTCATCCAAGTACACATTTTACTGTTGCGTTAAACAGAGGCTACAGTTAAGGAATTGCGCCCAGTAAATCCTCCCCGGCCAGGATACGAACCCATGACATAGCGCTCGCGGAACGCCAGGCGAGTGTCTTACCACTACACCACGGAGACTGTGAACAACACGGTTGTGTTGGGCGCCCCCTTTGAGGGCTCACCATAGCCCGTGCTACATGGACATTTCGTTCTGAGTAGCTAAATCTAAAACAACAACAACATTGGGCGCCCCGGTCTGGGCATAACAACAATGTAATCCCACCATCACCGCTGTTAACTGGAATTTTCGTGAGCGCATTGGCCTGGGTTCGTATCCTGGCCTGGGAGGATTGACTGCCCGAAACGCTTTGCGTAATAGTGGCTTAATAGGCATTGTATGTACTAGCTCTATCTATAAATCCATCAACTTTTGTATCTTACCTTGTATGTATGTACTTTACCTGAATAAATATTTGTATTTGTATTTGGATACCAGACTGCCAGATGTCAGCGCGGGGCGCGCACCACAACCGCTCACTAACTTTGCATGAAAAAATAATTACCTGTTGACCGCAGGATGTCGGACGATTGTGGTGAGCTTCCTCAGTTCTGTCTCTAGCTGTAGTACTCTCTTGGCCTTTACTGGTTCAGCGATCAGGAGGCTTCCAAAGGAATTTCCTTCCTGATGAAGAAAAAAAGTATTTCAACCTAGGCATTTAAAAGTAGTACAAAGAAACGCCTAATTTCCTTACTATGGTATTTCCTTACCTTAGTGGTATTTCATTATGGAATACTATATCTCGTCTGTTACTATATTATCTAATATTATATATATATATATATATATATATATATATATATATATATATATATATATATATATATATATATATATATATATATATATATATATATATATATATATATATATACTTCAATATCATTTCTCATTATCACTACCTTCCCTTAGTACTAATGTTACATAGCTAAATATTATATTACCTAACTTTGAGCAGCAAGTACATGTAAAAGATAAAATGTCAAGTTTTAATAATTTTTTTTAAAGTTAACTGTGCTTTTGGTTAACTTCTAAATTAGTGTAAATTCTCCATGTGTACATCAATTACTAGTTTGAAGTATTTTCTATTAAACTGATTAGAATTTCATTAACTTAGAAATTACTAGAAATTATTTAAGAAATTATATATTTAGGATTGATTGATCGCTTTGTAATGTATATAACTTACTCGAAATTCTATGCGTGTTAGTGGCTTTCCCAGAATGTACATATGTACATGTACACTCACCAAAATAATAATTCACTGTTGTTTCCTCTAAATAAACATACTAATTAAAATACAACATTGATTACTCAAAATAAGAGTTTATCACATATAACAATGAAACTACACAACCCAACGTACCTCCCCACATCCCATGCACTCTGTATCTCTCTACAATCTACCATACACAACCTACCATCACCACCCAGCTTACTACACACCACTCTGCTTCACCACAACCGCTCCATGTGCCATCACACCCTCTACCCCCCCCCCCCCCCACAATCAACACACACACCGTAGCAACCCAATCTTACGGGCTATTCATGCCCGTGCCCCCTTTTGGGTGGCTTAATCTTTCTCAATCACCACCAACAACATGGAGACACCATTAACATGGCTCTCACCACCAGGGGAAGGTTCGGGACAGTCTACCTGGCGGAAGACAAGGCCACAGGCCAGAAGTTCGCGGCAAAGTTCGTCAACACTAAAAGAAACCAGGACCGGGCCAACGCCGTGAGAGAAGTAGCCATCATGAAGTCCCTAAACTCGGAGAGTCCCCATCCCAGGCTCATACAGCTCTATGATGCTTACGACATGACCAAGGAAATGTGCCTTGTCCTCGAGATGTGAGTGGTTGGGGGCCTCTTCCATCATTTGCTTTCTGCGTTCCTCTTCGCTGGCTGGAGTCTGTTTTCAATTTGTCTTTTAAAATGCAGTTTTATGATTTTTTGGCGTATTTAAGGGTTTGCAACTCCTGGAGAATTTGAAGTTATTTATGAATATCTGTGTTTTTAATGTCTATATGTATATCTGTCGCTGTTTATCTCTGGGATAATATATGGGAATACTAGTAGTATATAGAAATTGAATATATTTACTCTATTGACTATATTTAAAACACAATAAAGTAACAATGGGTCATATAACAATGTTATAAATCTTTCTTGTAAAGTCCGAGGCTTAAATAATTGGGTTTTTGACAGAGTGGATGGTGGGGAACTGTTCGAACGAGTGATCGACGACGACTTCGTCTTATCGGAAAGGGCGTGCACCGTGTTCATCCGTCAGATCTGCGAAGGGGTCGAATTTATTCACTCCAAAAACATCCTACATTTGGATATGAAGGTATGGAGAGGGCGAAACTGACAATTACAACCACAATGCCTCTCCCAGTAGAAGAAAACAATACCTCAGAAGTAAAACAATTTAAAGCTCCCACCAGTAGTAAAACAACTCCCAATACCTACGTAGTTGAAAAATATACTTCCTGTAGCAGACAAATAATGCAACACATTTTTAATAGAAAAAGAGTTCATAAATCCCTCTCCAGCAACTAAACCCAAGCCTAGTAGACAAAGAAACCCAAAGCTCATTATCAAAACAATCCCTAATCCCTTCCCCTAATAGTAGAAAGCGAATCACCAAACCTCTCGATAGTAAAACAACCTCCAAGGTCCTCTCCCACAGCAAACCCACCCAATAAGGCCCCCTCCCCTCCTCCAAAAGATAAACAACTCCAACACTTCTCCAGTAGGTAAAACAGCTCACAAAGTGTCAGCCGTCACTTAGCCTAACTTAGAGTAAATTTTAGTGGATTCTATCCTTTAGCTGTAATGGATTGGTAAAGCTCTTACGGGTGAAACTTAATGGCCAATGATGTCCAACAGGTGACACTTAAAAACTCAAATAAATCCTACTTTCCTCTTGGTGTTTCTCAACTTTTTCCAGTGGCAAAACAGAAAGAAATTAACCCAAACGTTTCCCAAGTAAGAAAATAATCACAATATTTTCCCCCGTAGTAACACAAATTAAAACCTTCCCAAGCAGAAAATCAACCCAATCACTTCCCCTCAGAGGAAATAAACCCAGTCACTTTCCCCGGGAGAAAATCAATCCAATCACTTCCCCAGTAGAAACTCAGCCCATTCACTTCCCCAGTAGAAAATCAACCCATTCACTCCCCTAGTAGCAAAACAATTCAATCTCTTCCCCAGTAGAAAATCAACCCAATCAGTTCCATAACAGCAAGTCAACCTAATCACTTTCGCAAATATCAAATCTATCGAATCACCTCCCCAGCAACAATACAACCCAGTCACTTCCCTTGTAGCATAGCAATTCAATCATTTCCCATGTAGCAAAACAACACAATCAGTTCTCATTTAGCAAAACAACCCAATCACTTTGCATTTAGCAGAACATCTTAACCACTTCCCATGTAGCAAACCAACCCAATCGCTTCCAATGTAGCAAAACATCGTAAGTATTTCCCGTGTAGCCTATCAACCCAGTCACTACCCATGCAGCAAAACATTCTAACCACTTCCCACGTAACAAACACCTAAGGTCTCCCTAGTAGGAACAAACAAGCTTCTCCCAACATCTGCTTCCCCTCCCTTGTTGTAGTTGCAGGTGACCGACCCAAGCCTCTCCCCCAGCCAGAGAACATCCTGTGCTTGTCGCGGGAGGGCAACAGGATTAAGATATGCGACTTCGGCTTGGCCCGCCGCTATGACCCGCGCAAGAAGCTTCAAGTCCTCTTTGGCACGCCAGAGTTTGTCGCCCCGGAGGTTGTCAACTTCGAGCCCATCAGCTTCGGCACGGACATGTGGAGCGTCGGCGTCATCTGCTACGTTTTGTAAGTCCTCCGTCATGTGTTGAGTGTATGGTGTCATGTAGTGTCACAAAGGTCTAGGGGGTTCCCACAACCTTCTGAAAAGCCGACAACAAAGCCTTTCTCACGGCCTCCGTTGTGTTTGGACTCTTATTTTTACGATCAGTAAGTTATCAGCGGTTTATATGGTTTCTTGTGTAGTGTTGTGTATTTTGTGCAACCCGTTCTCGCACTTGCTTACGGTCAATATTGGCTTATTTAATAAGTGCATATGTGACATACTAATTGATTGTGAATATTTTAGTTTACCTTGAAAAGGTTCATAGAAAACACCGACCTCACCTAACCTTCTTAGTATGTTAAGATAAGCATCTTATTGCTTCGTATTTAAAATGTGGGCCGAAAAACTGTCTTCAGAAACCTTCGCACTTTCATGAACATCAAACGCAGTGCTGGATACATTCATTGGAGTTCTGTAAGACTTGGTGTTTTGCCTTGTTTGAGAATTCAGACTTGTGAGGTGTTGTGGTTGTGGACGTGATGGTGATGTTGTGGAAGGTGAGTTATGTCTTAAAGAGTTGAGAGCATTTAAGGATGATAAGGAGTCACTTACAATTAATGTATCAAGTTGGAGACTTGTACACATTTCAGTGCAAGGATCAAGGCAAATAGTTCGGTCTGAAGGGTAGAGGCCCAGTTGTTTATACAGACTCCCCACTCAAAATATAAGCCATCGCCCATTGTCAGGACAATTGCACTTCCAGCTGCACCCGTGGTGCGGTGTACGGATCCATCAGTGTATATGATTTGAGAGAGAGAATGCACTGTGGACAGAGCATCAATATGCTGTTTGTGGTGATCTGTGACTGTCATCGGCCAATATTGATGAACATATGTTGGTCACAAGTGAAAGCCTGTTCAGAGCTATGTTGTTGTCATATCTGTACAGTAACCTCAATGTGTACTTGAGGACTATTTAGCATGCATCATTTGGCCAAGGTTGGAATGTTTTGATTATTATTCTTTAACGAGCTAGGCTATGCATTTTTTTTTTTTTAGCAGAGGTCGTCTAAGTGAAACATTCTCAGATAAGTGATTACAGTTTCATTCCATAATTGTACATATAATACGTTTACTCTAACCTTAACTGATGAACTAAGTTAGTTTACAGTGATTATTCTTGGTTAAATTATTTATTTATTTGTATTAAGTGTTCTTGTTAAATTTACTTTATTTTATCATGCATTACTAACCGAGTGATTATTTATATACATTTTGTTAAAAAAAATGGTGTCTTTAATCAATAATAATATATACCAATGCCAGTATTACAGGCTATAGTATTTGTATTTATATATATTATATTATATAGTATATTTATATATAATCTTTATATTTATATTTATAAATATATTATATAAATTTATATTTATATATAATATTATTCAGTATTTCACAGTGATGCAGCCTAGTAACGCTCTTAAATTGTTATAACTTAATTATGTTTCTTTGTGCATATTATTTAAGAGGATAACTCCGTTGCTCTTTTTTTGTTTTAATAATAGTACTGGCACAATGTACTTGTAAACTTATATAATTAATTTATGCAGTATTCATCCCTCACTGCTAAGCAAGCTTAGGTCATGACAGATTCAATGGGGTGAAAATTTGATAATTTTCATTTATGTGGGAGTTAAGAGCAGGCTATTGTGATTTGCTTGTAGTTGGTTAGTGTAATTTATGAGTGTGTGTTCATGACATGAACTGAGGCTATATTGTTGGTATATAAGTTCGTCAGTGCTGACAACCTGAACATTACTTGAGAGAAAAAGTTGCATTCCTGTTATTGCAGTTCAAAGTTTTATAGCATCATATGTGTTACAGCCAGTGTGGTGTGTTACAGACCCGTGTGGTGTGTTACAGCCAGTGTGGTGTGTTACAGGCCCGTGTGGTGTGTTACAGCCTCTGTGGTGTGTTACAGGCCGTGTGGTGTGTTGCAGGCCCGTGTGGTGTGTTACAGGCCCGTGTGGTGTGTTACAGGCCCGTGTGGTGTGTTACAGCCCCTGTGGTGTGTTACAGCCCCTGTGGTGTGTTACAGTCCGTGTGGTGTGTTACAGCCTACTTGGTCTCTTGCAGGCTCTCAGGCTTGTCACCGTTCATGGGTCACAACTACGTGGAGACGATGACCAATGTGACCCGTAACAAGTACGACTTCGAGGACGAGGCTTTCCTCAGCGTGTCTGAGGACGCCAAAGACTTCATCCAGAAACTGCTGGTGCTGGATAAAAGGTTAGCGTAGCATTTTTACCAGCCTCTTGGTTATTTATGTCGGCCTCTGTGTCTATGTCAGGCCTGAGCTGTGATCTGTGTCACACTCTTTCGTCCGCCTCTCACTTCGTCTACCCGTGTTTCTGTGTGTGGTGGTTTTGCAATTACAGTTCAAAAAGTTCCGAGTACTTACTTGACACAGGAGATGTGCCTTTTCTTATTTGTGTATTTTGTAGTTATCATCAAAATGTCAAGTGGATTAATCTGTCATGTGAACTTTTATGAACGTCTGTGTTGCAGTTTGCGCCTAACTCCTGCTCAGTGTCTGCGCCACGACTGGCTGAGGAAGCCGCCCAACTCTACCCTGCGCCGCAGCTGCCGAGAGTCAGAGTCTGAGTCTGAGTCGGAGTCTGAATCTGAGTCAGAGTCGGAGTCGGAGACCGATGTCTCATTCACGGAGGAGAAGATTGCAAAAGAGGAAAAGGAAAATGAGAAGGAGAGGAAAAGGAAAGAGGATGAGCTCATAAAACAGGTTGAAGCCAAGAGAAAGGAACTAGAGAAACAAATGGAAGAAAAGAAAAGAGAATTGGAGAAACAAATGGAAGAAAAGAAAAGAGAATTGGATAAACAAATGAAAGAAAAGCAAAGAGAATTGGAGAAAAAGACCGAAGCTATAAAACGAGAAGAGGAGCTGGAGCGAACGAAGGCACAGCTGAAGGAATTCGTGGAGAGGTGGAACTCCCACCCAAACTCTCCGTACCTGGTGGGGACGCCCATTACTCTGGACCTGCAACGACTGGTTAGGACAGGCGGCTGGAACTCCAGAGCATCCTTCGCCTCCATGGTTGTCGAGCCCCCGTCAGAAGCTGACCTCTCACGCATGGAGGAAGATGTTTTTGCCTTTAACGACCTCGAAGACGCAACCAATCATGAGGCTTTGATTAACGACATCGGCGGCCAAGAGGAGTTCACAGTGTACGCCATAGAGCCCCCAGCGCCTCTAGTCAAGCAGCCCTCGCCAGAGGAAGTGGCTAAAGAACTGGAGGCAAAACTGACGCAGCTGCAGCTGGAAGACACAGCCATACCTAACAACGATACAAGTACAGTTGCAGGTCGTCCCCATCACCCTGCAACACACTCGACTCATAATAAAGTTGATCACTGGAAAGAAGGAACAAACGAGACTGCCAGAAGACAGAGTGAAAAACCAGAAAGTACGAAAGACAATGAAAGTGGACTGAATGATCCAGCTATTAGGACTAAAGATAAAATTAATAGATATAACGAAGAACAAGCAAAAGAAAAAGAAATCTTGAATAAAAAGAAAGAGGAGCAGATGAGGAGCAACGAAATTCTTGCAAACAAAGAGAAAGAGTCGCAAAGAAAGGGTACCGAGGGACATCACAAAATGGATGAAGAGCAGATAGAAAAGCACAAGAGAGCATACGAGGAGCGAAAGAGAATGAAGAACACACACTCAGATCAGAACAAGGAGAACAAGGAGACTGGCACCAGCAATCAGGATCAGGACCGGCAGGAAAAACCGAAGGTAAACGAGAGGAAAGCGTCGAGAGGCTCACGATCTAATGTGTCGGAGGAGCCGATGGAGGCCGAGAAGATTATCAACGATATACTGAAAGTGGACCACAAGAGCGCCTATGAGGAGTATAAGAAAATGATGAGTGAGGCACAAGTCAAGAAGGAAGAACAAAAGGTAAGTGAACAATTGAAAGAGAAAGGTAGAAATGAAGTCCCTGGACATCTACCAGACAAGACACAAAAGATGACTACAAAGAAGCGAGACGATGCTCTCAACAGAGAAAGCAAAGAACACAAGATAACTTCTAACAATACGAATAACAAATGGGAAGATAAAAACAAAGAACACAAGGTAACCCCCAACAGCATAAACAAGTGGGAACAGGAAAGTAAGTTTGAAGTAGAGAAGGCGGATATTACATGTAGAAGAAAGAACTCGGAGGAGAGAGCCACATATAAGCAAAACAGTGGCAACAAGAGAATAAACGGCATCAAGATAGAGATCAATGAAGAGAAGCAGAGTGAAGAAGAGAAGAAGAAAAAGCAAGAGGCAGAGCTGGCTGAACACAAAAGGCTATATGAAGAATACAAGAAGATGGTACAACAAGGTCAAAATAAAAAGGAAGAGAAAATTGCTGTCAAAGTTAGTCAATCTGGTGACGAGCAAAGGGTTTCTGGTGGCGAGACTGTCAGCGGAACGTGGAGCAACACCACACAGGTAAACAAAGAACTTCACAGAAAACCGGAGACTCGAACTATGAATATTTGCAGTAAAACCGATCAATTAACGAAAGAGCCACTGAAAAGACCTGAAATAATTGCATTACAGAATGAAGAACTAGGTGGAGTAATTCCAAGGCAGAGAAAGAAGTCCTTGTCGCGCTTAGAACAGACTGGTGAAACTAAATCCACTGAGGAGCGGGAACACAGTCCCAGAGGATCCAGAGGTTCAACGCCAACAAAGCAACTCAAGAAACAACCCTCCAGAGATGTGCCTTTTCAAGCAAAGAACCTGGAGAAGGAAGATTATGGAGAGTCACCAGTTCTTCACGTGTCCTTGCGAGTTGGCACTTTGCCCTCTGTCACCAATGATAACGACAGTTTATATGGCGGTGAAAGACAGAACTCCATGCCAGGGAGTCCCACACGCGTGAGTCGCAGAACTTCACGTGACGAGCGGCCGCCCTCCCGAGAGTCTGACAGAGGTACCCGAGGAGGAACTCCTGTTAGCGCCAGCCACCGGCGGCCTTCCCGAGATGTTCCCCTCAGTCATACTCAGATAGAGCGACTGGCTGCAGCCAGTGGCGTGTGTATCTCTGACCCTTCCTTGCCTCAGGCACAAGCTTGGCCTGACATTATCGTTGCGCCTCAGGGCGAAGACACTGAAGATTTGCCCGACTATAAAGATTCCTTAGATGTTCCGGTTGCAACTTTAATGAAGAGTCCGAGTGGGACATTGTTATCTGTCCCAGGGGTGACCGTCTCTCAGGCAGAAAGGCAGGCTGTGAACACCTCACCACCACCCAGTCCCAATCATGAAACACATGACGACACTATAACCAAAGACGAAGAAGCTTATGTACCAAACAATAAACTCGTCGCCTGGATCTTGGACATTGGCACTAAACAAGTTCAACCTACCCCATCCGTTAGTACCACTGAGCGTGTGAACCAGTGGGAGTCTAGAGATACCTCTCCCAGGCTAACACCTTCTCCTTCCAGAGACCGATCTCCAAGGCCCAGAGACATATCTCCAAGGCCCAGAGACATATCTCCACGGCCCAGAGACAGATCTCCATTGCCAACTGGGAAAATGAGAGATAAATCCCCTTCGCTAGCGAAGCCCCTCCCACCGTTTGAACCGCTATCACGAGAAGCGTCTTTGGATAACCTTTGTATCCAAACACCTTGGGGAACCCTGAAACGTTCTCCGTCCAAAATTAACTTGTCAAAGTCTCCCTCTTTTGAGGCTCCTTCTACAAAAGTAGGAGAAACGACAGTCAATGGACTCAGTAGCACAGAATTTTCATCAGAAAAATCTGATGAGAGCGTATGTACCAGCTGTTCGACGAGGTCTCCCTCTCCAAGAACATCGGTATCACGACTACAGAGGCAGTCGGCTGTGGAGACGACAGACGCTACCAACTCTCAATCTAGTTTACGGGTTAGTGGGGAAATACCTCCCAAACCTCCAGAGAGCAAGAAAGAAACATACAAAGCTGAGAACGAAGATAATTCTATTAGAACTGTAGCCAACCACGACGACTATAAAAGTCACACTTTGCCTAGAACATCGAAACTTATGAAGCAAAGATCATCAGACAGCTTAAACTTGTATTCCAGTGATAGAAAAAGGGATGTAAAGAAGCCTCCGCCTATTGACATTAAGAAAATCGAGGAGGAGAGCAACAGTCTGAGTCTCAAGAGAAAAAGTAAGTTTCCCCTTTCTCCAAACCAAAAAAAGAAAATAGGTCCCATGTTGTTTTCTGCTCAAGATCGGATATTCCAGTTCGAGCAGAAGCCGGCCTCCGACCGGCCGCCACAGCGACCTCTCACCAGAACCAGAAGTAATGTCGTCCTGGCACTTTGCTCCGAGAAGGTTACAAACGACATCAACAAGAATGGCTTGAGAGGGTCCCAAGTAAGTGACAAGACTCAGGTTGGGTTCATGAGGACGAGGCTCCTGGACAAGGTGGGCAGGGGTGCAGCCACACTGCCTGAGGAACCCGCCCAGGGTGAAGAACCCGTCGGTAAGATTACTGTTGACAACAGAAGGAACAGTGCAGGTACCACCAGACCATCCCTCCTCCGCTAATACCCCCCCCCCCCTTACATTCTACAGTATGCATGAATATTCCACGTCCAACGCTTCTAAATAGGTTTACGTGAATACATGTGCTGTGTGGCAGGCTGTGCCGCCACTCATTGGGATCTGGGGTAAGTTGGAGAGCAGTGCGTCTCCTCCTGCACCCACGTTCAACCATCACCCTTATACAGTGTCCACATCGAACCTTCACCATGCTTCAAATCACACCATTATTTATACACGAATTTTGATATAAAATTAACTAATATTTATTTATCTTAAAACAAAATTCAATTAGCTACACTGCGTATGTTGAATGTCATTTTAAAACTGAATTAATTGACCATAAATTGTATATATGTTGTAATCTTAAGCTTGATCAAGTTTCAAGCGGACACATTGTATTATCACAATATCCGTTATCATAAGGACACTGTACGTGTTTTTAACCACGAAATGTCATAAAGATTACCTGATTATTTGCCAAAGTATTAGTTTTTTCACCAAATGTATTTTCTATATATATATATATATATATGATTTCTGATGACTTATTATATTTTAGCACTCCTCATCTCGGCCAGCTGTGACCAGAAATATTATACTTTGACGAATAATGTTTGCCAGGACAGCTTTTTGATGGAAGAATGTTTCAGTATTGCTTCATAAGCATGTTCCTTGGCTTTCTTTTTTTTGCATTATTGTAAATAAATGAAAGCTACATAAATTAGAACAAGTTATTTACCCTTTAAACAGAGATGTATTATAAGCTTTATATTAGCCAACCCATCCTCAAAAAACAGTAAGGTCCTGTGGTACAGTGGCTACATTCTCAACTTACAATTGGGGATTCGAGCACTTGGAGGGAGAGAAGTGGTTGGGCATGTTTGCATTCACATAATGCCTCTGTTCACTCAAGAGGTACCCAGGAGCTATACAGTTGTTGATGGTTCCCCTACTGAAGAACTTCTGACCTTTCCCATATTGTGAAGGTCACAAGTTCGCCCTTGTTGGGGGAGGGGGCGACCTTGATACAAGCCTAAAGTATATTTCCTGTTCCCTACAACGGAAATTAAATTGTATAGTGGCCGTGGGGTCATGTACACATTATGGACCGACACCCAAAAAAAGTTCATGTTTTGTACTATTGGTCTCTTGAAGGTCATATTGTAGTACATGTACTAATAGGCCTAGGAGTGGTTAGGTCAGGTTGTTGCAGTCTTTCTCGGGCCCTCTTCAAAACAAATAGAACAAAACGTGGATTTTGGCCACATCAGATCACTTTTTTTTTACATATTCTCCAGTGTAACTATATAAGAACATAAGAACGTGTTTTACGTCAAACCATATTTGCGTATTTCCGGTAATGGAAAGGGTTACAGAGGCACATCATGGGCTCAGGGACTGAACCCCATAATTCATTTAGTTAATGAACAACACTAAAATATTCTTACAAATGCTGTACTATTGCAACCCGTCCTCTTACAAATTACGTTGCTTTTTGCTCGTGTGCACACACTGGCTAAAAACAAACGTAATTGAAAATGGAATCGGCTCACGAAAGTGACGTACTGTCCCATTTTCTGTTTTGGATCCTCTGGCTTAGGCTGTTAGGTTAGGAGAGGAAACTTTCAATTAACAGTTTTCATGACGTTTTGAAACCTTAGGAGAATGTCCTGCCCTCCTAACCTACCAGAGGACCCTTAACTTGCTGTTTTGGAAAAAACAAAATCCAAAATTTATTTTCAATTAATTTTCCATTTTCAAATTATAGCCTTTGTTGGCCGTAGCGCATACAAGCAAAAAGTGCCGTAATTTGTAAGAGGACAGGTTGTAGTTGGTGGCATGACATTAGGTGACATGTTCTGGTAAGTGAAGTACAGTATTTAGATACTGTAATATGTTACTAAGACTAAATAGAGTAGTCATTGCACTTACCAATTGTGTATACAGTATATTTTGGAGGTTAGATGAATGACTGGCTATTCCCACACTCAATACTTTATTGCATCTTGATATGTGGTACATTGTATCACAGTAAAAATTACATCACAATAACGTATGATCAATATTTCTCGTGACTTACATCACCTTCATCAATTGAAACTACAGTATTTAACAATTACACATTATATAACAGGCATAGCAAACATCCAACCTGTGACAATTTGATTCTAGCCTGCATGATGATATTGTGTTCATTATATGTAGGAATAGCACGTGTCAATTATTTCCTTAAGGTGTGTATAAACATATTTACAAATGAAAGAATCTACATACACAGCCAACCATGAGGCTGGATCACCACCATGCCTACCACAAGACAGACAATATTATAATTTGTAACAACACCTGCATTCTCAAATATATGGATTATAAAGGATTACAGATTGAATGTGGGAAATTACTGAACATTACAGATAGAATTATAAAAACAAAATATGGAATGTAAAAAACTAAATTTAAAACACAGCAGCACCAAACCATTTTCACTTTAATAATAACTAATATTTATGACAATCTTGTTACTTTATAAAAGACTAAACTAAGCTACAACTGTAAAACGTTTAAGTACAACACCGTACTAATCATAACTGAACCCACTCACTGCATCAGAACCATCACTTGTATCAACTATGAACAGATTTATTGCTAAATTTTATTAACACAACAAGGTTAAAAATATCAAATAAAGCACTTTTTTATTCAGTAGGAATATGTGCCTTAAACTGCATACAAATAAATGGAACAATTAGGCTCCGAGTCAAAATATGTAAAGCTCCTTTCTGAGTAATCGACTGATCCCTAGAATAAAATGCTGTGCTACCGATAAAATTCATCAAGTCAAACAAAACTATATTTGGCACCAGCACCACAGATTATTTCAAATGTCAGTGCAGGTTCATATAATGCAGGTTCTACATTGCCTCCACTATGGAGGCACTGTAGAAAGACTGTCCAACCCATTATATCCAACAGTGATAAAGTGTGGCTTCAAAGCATCACTTGCCTAGTCTAACCAGCCACCCACTGACAGGTGGCAGCACATTGTTTCCCAACAAATACTAAATCTGCCCACAAGAGTGAACAGGTAAGTCCAGGAGCAACTAGATGTCTCTGCTAAGAAAAAAAATTGTCAAAATGACTCTTAACCTGACATCTGAGCTATAACATTCAGTTGCTTCTGAAGGTAACAATTGAATACAAATACTTAGAAAAGCACAACAAGAAAATAAGGAACAAAAAAGGGGCAAGTACTCACCAGTTGAGCACTGCTATCCTAAAGGAACCTTCACTCAGAGAGTCTGGGAAACAAAGGAACCAGCACCACCATCAGTCCAGGAGGTGGCAGTGGAGGAAGATTACCTACCACCACACAATGAATATCTTTGGACAAACACTAGTGGAGCATCATACCCCTTCCCCCCCTCCTTGCTTGTATCTTTGAGGAAAATAATTCTTGGTAGAATGCTTGGTCGGTGGCAGACTTTCACCTAAGCTTGGATCTTGTGGGAAGTACCTGCAACATATTCTGAATTGGATTGAGCTTTTCCCCTGTGTACCCTTATATAAACTTGTAAAGGACATTTGAAAAGGTACATGGCATCAGCACCTGAATGCAGCCTTACCTGACTGCTCATGAATCATATCTCTGGCTTGCTGGATGTTTACCTTGGGGAGCTCTCCTATGAAATAGCTCAGCAGCAGTGTGTGTGACTCTCCTAATCATATAATCCTTACACAAATATCAATATACAAATCAGCTTAATTATCATGTTAATGCTGACAGCGATATGATTGATTGTTTTTTGTTTCAATAAACTACCATTAACAATTGATTAGATTGATTTTTGTTCCATGAGATAAAACATGGATAAAAACAGCCACCAGAGGTGGTGGGAGATTCAAAATCTAGATGCATCTATGCAAAACATTTTCAGAAATTGAATTAAATAGATCTTATCCCACATATCACTGCAGATGGTAAGTCTTCAAGAACTGACTGAAAATAAAATCAATTCAGTCATAGCATGACTGAATGAATGATAGGTTAATTCGGGTAAAAACTTGATGGGTGGTATATTGTAACAATTTCAGTGAGAAACTGACAGTGGAGCCTGACCCCAGTAAATAATCTGGCCACACGTGAAGGTTGAACACATGTTAACTTTATACTATACACTAATTCTAAACTTGAATGCTAAATAAAATATAAGTAAACAATCAAATAAAATTTAAATGAAGCCTATTTATAAATGGAAACACAACAAATTAAGACTCCTCTTTTTCCTTGCATGGGCTAATCTATTTACAAAGCTTAGTGTTTGTTGACACGAGACTGGTCATATCTTCACAGAAATCTCGGAAGAGTTAGATAAAAACAAAACCATGTGCCCCACGTACAGAATAACTACTCAGCACATATTACAGTCAAGTTATCCAGTGACTCTTCACTGTGTCACATGAAGTGTAGATCTTCATACAAGAGTAATAAACAACTATATTTTTATTCGTACCAACTTGGTGAATAAACTTTTGGACACCATCATGGGATGCTTTTCAGTTTCCCTCAAGCAATTAACAAATAAGTGAAATAATAACTCAAAGAAAAAAGTAAAGGTGGTCATCATTATCTAACTTTATGTAGGCCTTGTCATGTGTTGGTTAATATTATGTAGCAGATAAAGATCATTATTATACAATGGCAGGATTCTCAGGAGCTGAAGGGCATAGTACCTTCCAGTCACAATAGGAAATAAAGTGGCACTGACAGATTTCCCGCGCCTTCTGAACAGAACTAACGATCACTTTGGTATTTAAACTGTGGCACATACCGGGTAAATTACAAAATGAAATGATGTTAATCATGATGAAGATTATCTTTAGCAAAATTAAATATAATTAGCCATTACTTAAGGGTAAAAAACTGAGTCTAACCTCAAGAGATCACAATATGCAATATTACTGAGGAGTGGGGTGAGAATGGAAATGGTTTTCCTCATGGGTTATACCTCATCATACCAGGGGGGAAAAAAAAAAAGAGGAGAGATTACCATACTTCAGACTGATTTCCATATACTGTATATACCTGCTGAAAGTGTACCAGCAACCCAATGTATTATATAAAACTGCTAATCCTATCAATAAAACATTTTTGGGGTCATTCCTTATGATATCAACATAACCTACAAAATACACATCTACATCACTTGCATTACTTTCACGCGTACGTATTACCATAATCTACCACTATTTCTCACTCTACGTATGTATATGAAATATACCTCGGCTCTTTCCCTTTTTCCGAGTATTTTAGTGGTCTTCTTAACTCACTCGCAGATCCCGAGTTCGATTACCGAGTAGGACAGAAATGACTGGGTATGTTTCCTTTGACCTAATGCCTCTGTTCACCTAGTAAGAAATAGGTACAGGTACCTGAAAGTTAGTCAACTGTTGTGGGTGGCATCATGGCCTCCTGTCCTCAACTTATATGGTATGATTTCAACTGCACTTCCAGCTGCAACCTGTAACTTCTACTTGTGCACTGTTAAATAAAAGCTGCCAATGATAACACTCCTCTGCTAAATCCCCCCAGGAGCATTTCTTGCTGGACAGATACATCTCATCCTGATTTAATAAACTGTTTATTATCTTTCATTGTAAGTATACATTGCCTGAAGTCTGAAAATTCCTACAGGGAATATAGTTGCCTGCACAGATCTAAGTCAATTATCCGAACACATTCAACATATTTCTTTCATTAATATACAGTATTATGTATTGCAACTGAATATTTCTATGATCAAATTAATTTATTTGTAAATGCAGTAACTTTGTACACACAGCAAGTACTGTAGTAAAGCTTATGTACAGCGTGATATAGTACAGTACTGTGGTAAGCTGCAGCTACTTTGTCTTCACTTAAAACTGTACGATCAGGTAACTTGCTTGTCAAGTTATTTAGTAAACTCTTACGAGCCATCAGAAATCGCCACTTGTATTTATTGATCTATAATAATTCACAATTTATCTTATTAGGTTTATGAAAATGCATGGCATACTTATTGTGCATTTTGAAGAGCTATTCAACAAAATAAACATTTATTCCTTGCTTGATTTTAGTCCAGTGTTTTATCAATTTATAATAAATATTTTGATACACAATGTACAATTTCAAAGATTAGTCCGTTATTGTTATGTAACAAATTACAGAAAATGTAATGTGGTAATATACTGTACAGTAGCTGTTTGTTTACCAACATATTACATAGCAACATTCATGTCACCTGGCACAGCATCGTTGTCAAACTGTTGCTTTGATAGTGTAACACATTCATTATGTACACACTTAACCAGCTGGGGGTAAACTTGTGTACTGTCTGTCTGTACTGCAATAAATACACTGTTTAAAAGCCTAGTTACAAAGCAAAGACAAACATGTTAGCTGCCTAATTATAGGAAAATACATTTTTTTTTTTTTACTTTTAACATATAAAATTTGAGTGTTACCAAGGCAGGCTTTGCTGATGACTCCATGTTTAGACAATTATTATGAGCCTTTAGCTAACTTTCCATATGGTAAGCTGAATACACCAAAGCAATATTCTTATTTTATAAACACTGCAAATATAAAAATTTGGTTCCTGGTCACAAATTTAGCCCATATAAAATCCCCATTGCTAATGGCTGAAAACTGGTGGATATTCTCTTAAAAATAACTGGTTTCAATTTCTTGCTAGTAGTTACGTTTCACACACAGAGCGCCTTAATACAAAACTGAATATTGGAATCGAGACGTGAAACACCTGGCTAACATAGTTGAAGACGAGCACAGCCAACAGGGCGCCCACTGGAGGAAGATTGAGTGATGGAGAGGAGCTGTAAATGGGGCAATACGGACACTGGTATGAACCACAAACTTCACAAATATCCAAGCTGTTCACTGTTGAATTAAACATCACCATTTGGAAGCGCTCTGAAAGACAAATAATTTACTTGTAATGTTTGAAACGATACAAAGCAGTAGTAGTTAATAAAATGACCACATTATACACATTGTAGGTTACATTGGAGTATTGAATACTATCAGACATCCACGCATCAACAATGAACTAAAGCCTTTCCTTCCAACCCCCCACCAATATATATGTTATGGTTAAGTAATGGTTTAATTATTATAATAATGAGGAAAGCTGCTAAGACACTTGTTCAATAACAGACACTCAGACCAACAGTAGCACAGACATAACTGGATTTTTTTTTTCAATGCTCAAATATAAAATTCTGAATATTATCAGGCTGAAAATGCAAGTGGTTAACAAATGAAATGCATTTAAACCAGAAACCATGAAAGCTACCTTGAATCAATTTTCAGACATATAAAGTATACACACAACCTAAGTTGTGATGTATTGTGTTGCTAATAGCTCCCTGCAAACTTATAAATCAAGCAGGAGCAGGTAACATGTAAAAATTGAACGTTGTATATCAATTAGGGGGCCTGACAGCTGAGTGGACAGCGCTCGGAATGCGTAGTCCTGAGGTTCCGTGTTCGATCCCCGGTGGATGCAGAAACAAATGGCCAGAGTTTCTTTCACTCTGATGCCTCTGTTCACCTAGCAGTAAATAGGTACCTGGGAGTTAGACAGCTGCCATGGGCTGCTTCCTGGAGGTGTGTAACAAAAAGGAGGCCTGGTCGAGGACCGGGCCACGGGGACGCTAAGCCCCGAAATCATCTCAAGATAACCTCAAGAGAGCTGCTTCACAAACATTATGTTCAGTAGAACATCTGGTCATGTTGTTTACAGCTCTCAATGGTCAAGATGATTATTCATGACTGATAAACTCCATCTTATTGCATCAATATTTTCAGATTGAAACTTCCTACCACCTGTTAATTTTGTTTGCATATGAGTGAGTTTGTGTGTATGTATGCATACATGTATACATATTCACTCATCATTGAGTGAAAGTCATCATTGACTTTTACAAAGTCAACACTAGTGAAAGTCAATGATGACTTTCCCTATTGTGTCAGTGCCAGTATATCGGCCAACCAGACTCTCGCATGATCCTGCCCAGGAACACACTGCCAACTTACCTTATGGAGCAACTCAGAGTGATAACTTGCAAGCTTATAGTAAGCCATCCATTTTTTATGTCATAGATCAAAACTCTTATCAGTTTAATTTTTTTTTACTTATAATGAGTGTTTAAGGAGATACTCTGATTGGTTTGCCTAGCTTCTCGGTCAAAAAATATTTGAACTGACTTAAATTACACACATTATTCAAATCACTAATTATGCCTTGCAGACATTACTAGTTCTAATGGCAATCACCATGGTAAACAGGAGAATCAAATTACAACTCTTCACTTTTCCACATATTGTCTCCAATGAAAGATGACCCCCCCCCCCCACCAAATTAATTTTTCAGTCCAGGATTAAGGAATTATTAGCAAAGTGTGCATACCTCTAATGTCAGAAAATGTTAACATATATACAGTACTACTAAATTTGGCACTGACGATATATATGACATTTAGATTTTGAAGTCTTTCTTTGTACTCTAGCTCACTTACCAGGCTGGTAAAGCTCATAAATCGTAGCCATTCTGACGTTAGTTAAGTTGGCCACAGGATACCACCGCTTCATCTGGTAGGTGAAGCACGATCTATTGGCAGGGATCTGTGAACAAATAATGCACAACATTTACAATATTTGACCGTCATTCAAGGAGGTGAAGGATAAGTAGAGAAACAGATACACTCATGAGAAGCCAAGACAACAGCATCTTCATTGAATAAGCAACTGTTAAGACACACCATAACTCAACTTCCATTCTGAGCATTCACTAATAATTGTAGTGGAGTAACTGACCCATTTGCTGACATCTCATTTTCTCTGTATTGTTTTCTTTTCAATATTCTTTTTTTTTATTAAATTTCTAATAAAAAAAAGACTAAATTCATACGTTTAAAAAAGCTAAACTATTTATTATTTCATTCAGGAAAAAATTTAATTTCCATTTTGGTATTGAAATTTGAAAATAAGTTACAGTACACAACATTAAGCTGAAACATCAACTGAAATACACATTATAAATATAACCCATTTTTGCATGTTACAATATACAAAGGGAAAAGGAACTATCAGGAGAAAGTGCCAAGCCATTATGACTATATAGCAGGGGGTCAGGATAAGGATTTGGGATGGGACGGGGGGGAAGGAATGGTGCCCAACCACTTGGACGGTCGGGGATTGAACGCTGGCCTGCACAAAGCGAGACTGTCGCTCTACCATCCAGCCCAAGTGGTTGGGCCACAATATACAAAACATACTTTAATTACAAGATATTGAAAAACAATGGAAATAAATGTGAGGGACTGAGGGAAATATTTATGACTTTTTTTTTTAGCTAATGTGAGGGATGACACTTGCTTTTGGTGGTGATGAATGACAGCATTTACCAGGTTTATACTACTTAAACTACTGTTCTTAATTTCTGATGTCTTGTCATGTGTAACAAAATTTGGTGACACTTTATCTTTAGGCACTTGGCATAATTTTGATTATTGAAGGGAATTATTATTATTTTATTTTGCCAGTTTGATAATTCCAACTCAATGAGTTGAAAGATATTTTTAAGAAAAGACAAGACATAATCTATCTTAAGATTGTCCATTTCTACTAAACTAATTCTTTAATTTTGTCACGTTCACACCACACCATCATCTCACAACTGTACACAAAGTTCACCACTACTACTACTACCTCATGAAGCTCTCCAGCTGTCTCTTCATATCTTGTTGATTCTCACTAGCACTTCCACTGCACTGCCCACTTTCCTTCCCTGATTCACCCTATTCTAAACTTTAATTACAAAAACTCCAACCTTATCAACACTATATCCAGGTACAATATTTAAGAACCTAACAATAAAGTAATCTGAAATGGTCCTAAAGTCACATGCGACACAGTGTTACAACAGATGGCAAATTATAATTATTTACATGTCATGCATTTTTGGAGTTGCTAGGTAGGCCCATATTAGGTATAATATGGGCCTCGTAGCCTGGTGGATAGCGCGCAGGACTCGTAATTCTGTGGCGCGGGTTCGATTCCCGCACGAGGCAGAAACAAATGGGCAAAGTTTCTTTCACCCTGAATGCCCCTGTTACCTAGCAGTAAATAGGTACCTGGGTGCTAGTCAGCTGTCACGGGCTGCTTCCTGGGGGTGGAGGCCTGGTCGAGGACCGGGCCGCGGGGACACTAAAAAGCCCCGAAATCATCTCAAGATAGGTGGTCAAAATTACCTCATACATTTTGAGTTTTTGGTCATTACCAAAAACATTCATGAAATATTGCAGTCTTATATATTTTAGTCTCTCAGGTTGATACCAAACACCAATAAATTTAGGAGAGACTAAGAAAAATGATGACAAAATAATCCTATAAAAACCATAAGGTTACATACACAACATTAAAACTATGTATTTCTAGTGCAAGTTGAGTTAAAAGCACAATAAACTTGCTAATTCCAGAGACAATTACGAGACATTTTAGGTCAAAAATAACTGTTCATAGTTTTTTCTTGAGCAACAGTTAAATGTACTAAGATGGCATAATATAACAATAATAATATAATACACAATTAGAGAGAGAGAAGCAGCTTACATAATCAAAGAACCAGACAGTTTTCTTGGCAAACACATCTCCATGCCCACCAATAACATCACGCAGAGAAGGGAATGTTTTCTTGACTTGTGCATCACGAATACTCTTCTCGAGTTCAATCTGAAAAGCCACGTAGCCAGTGGGTACTTCAATTTCAATGACTGTTGCTGAACTCTGGTCGGACTCCTTTTCATTAATCCACCTGGAATGTGGGGAATTCATTTACAGCACCACATAATGAACATGAGGTGGGATTAAAAGCATGAGTGAACTGGTCAGCTAAGCACTATTAACAAAAGAACATTTCAATTCATCTATTCCTACATGAAATACATCACTAAACAGAAAACCACCACACCCAACACTTATTATAGCACTATATGTACATATTTTATATACGGTGGTACCTCGCATAACGATCGCCCCAAAAGGCAAACATTTTGGGTAACGAACGGCCCAATCGGTGACATATCGTCCCGTATGGCGAACGCTCATTTGGGTAATGTCAACACCACATGGTGGGTCGCGCTGCTTCTTGCACATTCTTGGACGCTTCCGACGATGCAAATAAATTATGTTGTTCTTGTTTAAAGATGCTAATGATGCTGGGATATAAAGGGGTGACTGCTGAGATGTTGCAAAGCATTGACATTTTTGTAGAAAAAGAAATTAAATTTCTGAAATACAACAAATGTCAAAAAGGTTCGTTCGGTGGTTGGCAGGTAGGCTGCTTCATGTTTCTTACATAAAAAAAACGAAAAAAAAAATATGAAGAATTTTGAAAACCAGAACAAATGTCAAAAAGGTTCGTTTGGTTGCTAACAGGTAGACAACCGAACAACTATGTTTCTTAAATAAAAAAAACGTAAAATAAAAAAACAGTTGAAACAATTTGAAAAATGGACAAATGCCATAAAGGTTCGTTCAGTGTTTGTCGGGTAGGCTGCTCCATTATTGAGACGTAAATGAAAAATATAAAACGTATGGAACAAATTTGAAACAAGCAAAGATTGTTATAATGGAGCAGCCTACCCGTCAAACACTGAACGAACCTTTATGGCATTTGTCCATTTTCCAAATTGTTTCAACTGTTTTTTTTTATTTAAGAAACATGGAGCAACCTACCTGTAGACAACCGAACGAATCTTTTTGACATTTGTTCTGGTTTTCATTTTTTTTTTTTATGTAAGAAACACGGAGCAGCCTACCTGCCGACCACCGAACAAACCTTTTGCTATAAGACAAATGAAAAATAAATATTGAACAAATTTGAAGAAAGAAAAATGTCATAAAGATTTGTTCAGTGTATGTAAGGTAGACTGCTCCATTATTTAAAACATCGAATATCATATTGACGTTTTTCGGTGGTAGAACGGATTAATTTGATTACCATTAATGTCAATGGGGAAATTTGTTTTGTATGACGTCCATTTCACATGACGACAGCGCCGGGACGAATTAAATTCGTTATTCGAGGTACCACTGTATATCACTATCAATAAATGAAAATGTGCTTACTGTATCTGTTTGTCTGAGGTTGGGGGCCAGATGCTTGGGGCTAACCTCACCAAACTTTACAAGAGTGACTGGCCTTTGTCTGGGGAGGGTTATAGGTGGGTTTGGATTAAACCCCTCGGCCCCCCTTTCCTAAAATGGCAAACCATACTAAATACTAATTTCAAATCTCGCTAAATAAAAGACTCCATCCTCACTAAGGTTAGACGGATAAGGTGAAGTGGTGAATGGTAGGGAAGGTGGTGAAGGAGAAGGAAAATACTGAAGAGTAGGAAAGGTGGTGACAAGTACGGAGGGTGAAGAACAGGGAAGGTGGGGAAGAAGATGAAGGTTTATAGTGAAAATGATTACATTGTACTTATATGCCATTCCATTGGAGACTTTCAGCGCCGTGGAGAGGGGAGACCTGCTGCCTGGGTAACAGCTTCTCCCCCGAATCAACCTACCCTGGCTTTGCGCCCTGGTGAGGACACTCCAGACCGACAACCAGAGCACAACTCCATAGTCTCCTGAGACTGATGGATGCCTACTATATGTGTAGGGATGATGGTTACAGTGATAATGATATTGCATGGTAAAAATGCAGTGGCCGTCACCCAAGCAACGCCTGATACCCCCCCCCCTCCTCCAGTACAGTGTGTATACATGCATGACACTACAATAAAATATACATCTTGAATATTACCTGGCACAAACTTGTATAGTACAATGAGACTTGTTGCCAAACATTGAGTAATACTCTCTAACTTCCAGGTCAAATGCATCAACAGGGGGCTGTTTCCGCAAGGGGGTCCAGTCAACACCGTAACTCACGTCCAGCTGGAGTATGGCCTGACCAGCTCCATGAGCCATAACATTCACCAGTCCCCAGACATTTTGAATCTGTAAAAAAAGAGAGAGAGAAATACAATAATAATAATAATAATAATAATAATAATAATAATAATAATAATAAAAATAAAAATAATAATAATAATAATAATATCCACATACCTTACTATCATTAACAATTCAAGGACACCTGCAAGGAGTTTGGGTTTTCGCACCAAGACAAATGAGATGACAAGTCTGCAAAACATTTTGTCCCTTACACTAATTATATTAGTCAATACTACACAATTTACAATAGTCACAATAACAGGGTCTTAAGTCTTTATCAGGCTGATGTTTAATGATTGACAATGGGAATATAACTTACTGGAATTAAACTCATCTTGGAAACACTCGTGTTGGAAATTGTCACAAGATGTGAGGCTCGGCCCGCTTCTCCCGTGGCCTCAACCGTCACGCGCATGTCTGTAATGTCCCTCAAACGTGCACGGTATGAGTACTCAGTGAGGGCTTGCATTGCTACTAGCGTATCCTGCAATAAATCAGTTTGAAATTGTCCAGAATTATTTCTTTCATAAGATGGTTAAGGGCACAAAATCAAGTTAATTCTTGAACATATTTTCAGTTTCATATATTTTTTATATTAAGCCTTTAAAACAAGGTTAGCATGGTTACTCATAGTTTATTTATATATATATATATATATATATATATATATATATATATATATATATATATATATATATATATATATATATATATATATATATATATATATTATATATTATATATTATATATTATATATTATATATATTATATATTATATATTATATATTATATATATGTCGTACCTAGTAGCCAGAACGCCCTTCTCAGCCTACTATGCAAGGCCCAATTTGCCTAATAAGCCAAGTTTTCGTGAATTAATTGTTTTTCGACTACCTAACCTACCTAACCTAACCTAACCTAACTTTTTTGGCTACCTAACCTAACCTAACCTATGAAGATAGGTTAGGTTAGGTTAGGTAGGGTTGGTTAGGTTCGATCATATATCTACGTTAATTTTAACTCCAATAATAAAAAATTGACCTCATACATAATGAAATGGGTAGATTTATCATTTCATAAGAAAAAAATTAGAGAAAATATATTAATTCAGGAAAACTTGGCTTATTAGGCAAATCGGGCCTTGCATAGTAGGCTGAGAAGTGCGTTCTGGCTACTAGGTACGACATATATAAATAAAAGAAAAAACTCCACTTCAGATGGTGGATCAGATAGGATCAGAACCCATGGAGGGTGAACACCACAAGATTCGTACTCCTAAAACCAAGATGCACTTACGACAGTTGATATAAAGCCTCCATCATGCATCCTCATTGCATTAAGCCACTCCACAATGCGTTCCTGGATAATGTTGACACCATCACGGATGAGGTAAACAAGCAGGGCATAGGATGTCGACTCAACGGCGTGAGAATCCCATTCCTCTTCATACTTTGGCTGCAACAAGTTCCTCTGGTTGTTTTCATACACTCGGGTATTGGCCTTCACAGGTGATCGAGACCAGTAAACCAGTCCATCTGTAATAGTGCTTAACATCAGAGACTCGCAATGATTTCCGACATGTACAGTTACTGGCATATCTTTACATGAGTACATGTGTGGCATGAACAGTTACAGGAAAAGGAATGTGGTAGCCCTGTCGCCTAGCACCAAGTGATACGCACATTTTTGTATCCCAAGCAATAAATGTAGAGAAAATTGGACTGGGAATCCATCTTGCTAGAGTTCTTCTTAAGAGGAGCAAAAATGGCCTCAGTTTGATCTAGACCAGGCACCAGAATGCCACATCGACAAAAATCTTGAATGTGTGCACATACAATCAACAACCAATCTTACATTCAAGGTGCCAGCATTTTCAAGAACTGGCTACAGGAAAATAATTAGAATTATTTGGCCCACATAACTACAACTTCTTCAAGAAAGAGAAAAGCATTATGACTGGAGCACAGAGACACCAGCATGACCCTGCAGGAAAGTTTGAAACATTTCATATGGCACCAGAACCCAGAATGTTACCTTGCCTAACTAGACGATGCAATACTCAACATTATACTTAGTGAAGTGATATAGAATATACCAAGGGTTGAGGAATTACCTGTGTTCATGGTGGTTTTATTTATAATATAAACTTTGGGGAGGGAGAAAAAAGAAAGAAGTTAACTACTTACTTCAACTCAGTTTGAGGTAAGCCACAGTCTGGGTAATTATAGATATTATATGTCCAGATTCATGTTGCCCTTGTTGTAAAGCCTGTACTCTATATTTCAGAGTTTACCTGAGGTAGTGATATATATGTATTGAACTCGATGTAATACCAAGGAGTTTGGTTAATATACCTGTCTGTAAAAAAATATTATTTCTTTTTAACCAATTGTTGCTTGGAGCTGTGGAGAGTAGTTTTCTTGGCTGTACAGTACATCTTCCATTCTTATGTTTCAAGTCATTTTAATGTTTGCAATTAAATACAAAAATATTTTACAGCATGTTATAGTTTGTATTCTAATGATAATACCGTAATACTAATAATAACTATATTATTTAGATTTTTAGCCTAACTTCTCATACTTGTGCTCAGTAAAAATGGGCGAGAAAATAACCTGTACTGTAACAGCAGAGCTCGGAAATATTGTACGTCACCTAACTCTAAACTGCTCAAGTTAGAACACATGTTAATAAACTGTGCATTTAATAATTACAAACAAGACAAAATGAATACAACTTTTGCAGTGCACTAATACTCATAGGAGTATTTACGTATGTAGGTTAGCTTAGCATTTTAAAAGCACCGAATCACCTTCTGTGGTTGAGTGTTTAATAAACCCTTGAACTATATGTTTAACACTTCTCTAACCCTGTCCATGGAGGACAGAAGAAAATGTATATAAGCTGATTAGCATTGTAAATGTGTGGCCACGTCTGTGGTAGAAAAAAAAAAAAAAAAAACTCATAGGAATAATTTTGTTATTTCTTACCCCAAGTTACTATGAAGGAAATATTTTGTCACTTACTCTCTTCTCGTTTTATACGATCCAAAGCATTGAAAGCCGCTTCCTTGTCCACCGAGTTAGCTTTAGAAAGTGCATAAGCCACAATGGCTAATTCATAAGGATCATAGAGGGTCTTCAGCTCCCTTTCCAGGTACCTTTAGATAAGAAATAATATAAAGTCTAAACGTTCATACAATATCATTACCTCATTTTTCACTTTCATGGGGTTGGGAGGTATCAGGCAATACAAAATTAGGAAAAGGGTGCTATAAATAGTAATAATTAACTCTTCCATTCATTATACATTAATACTATATATAGCATCATGACTTAACAAGAGGCACCTGTACCACACACACACACCAGTACCCCCAAGCTTCGTAAGTCCAGGTGTGCAGTATTTATTTTCAATAGTCATATACCGTATGGTACTGTACATACAAATACATTCATTCCGTCCTTACAAACTTTTACCCAAGCCCTTGTCCTTTATCCTAACCAGTACATTGTTCACACTCCCCGATCCTTAAGACACTCGACAAACCATGTCCATCCATCTATTTTGGCCTTCTCTTCGTCTTATCCTCAAATTTGCTCAAATACACTCTTGTTACCAGTCTATCATTACCCATCTGGTCAACATGCCCAGCCATCTGTGTATGCTTTCCTCAATTTTACGTTTTGCAGACTTTTATGCTCCATCATGCTCAGAAGTGCCATTACCCCCCCCCCCCCCACACACACACACAGTGCAGCACTCACTGCAGCGCTGTTGACTGTCGAGAGGCAGGACCAGAGGGCCAAAGCTCAACCCCCGCAAACAAAACTAGGGGAGTACTCAGGCCACAACTATTCGTAACTTGTTGCTTCTAATCGAGGTTTTCACTGCACCAGCCACTTTTCTTTCCCGACTCATTCTACAATATACTTAGATTGAAACTTCTTCTCTGATCAGTCATACATGCTAGAAATTTAAACCAATTTTAAATTCCAGCACTTTACCATTAATATTTATTTCACACCCAATTTCCTCTTCCCCACCACAACCTCAACTTTATCTTTGTCCACATTAACTTTCAACAGCTCCATCTTACCCACATCACTAACATTTTCATGTCTTTAAATACATTGATCCCTTTCACTTACAGAAAACTGTACAATGTACTGAATGTACATTTACAGTGACCAATATTATGTTACAATGCAGCGACAAATATTTAACTAACCTGATAATATTCAGTAATACATTTCCTACTTCAAAAATTATTAATATTTGTATTATTAAAAGTAAAGATTGATAAATGGACTTCCTATATACAAGACCAGCTTATTATTGCTCGATGAGAGCCTTTACTCTCGAATGAGCACTTCAAGATTATAAAGGAAATAACACCCAGGAAAATGTGTTCACCTAATGGCCTGTGAGCGTGCACTGTTAGCTTGTGCTCTGACATGACCCTGCAGGGAGGATATAGTCATCTCCAGTGTAATCAGGCACTGAGCAGTCAGGGTGATATTCTTTGGACCTCTGTCGCGAGCCCCATATGACTGTAATTAGAGAAAATGAAAGTAAAATATACACAAATTACATTTTCATGCTACAAGATACAGTATAAAGTACAGCATTCAATTTGTCCTAAAGTTACAACAACAAAATCCACATGGTTTTCATGAAGGGTTTTATGTAATTCTGTACAAATTACAGAAACTTTCATTGCAGTTAATAATAACCAATTATTTTAGTACACATCTGTAGTGAATTAATGAAAACTAACCCAACCAAACCACCTAACCTAGATATAATTTTTAAGAAAATAAGTACTTACATTATACAAAGAATAGCCGTCTTTATGTTTCAATATACATAAAACAGTATATGAACCTTTTTTGTAAATTTTATACAGAAAATTTTGTAAATTTCAGGCCTCCTGGTTAGTTGTCTGGTCAACCAGGCTGTTAGGTGCAGCTGCTTGCAGCCTCGTGTATGAATCACATCCTCGTTAATGAGGTATCCTTTGAAGGTGTTCATCAAGTTTTCTTTTTAACACTGGAAGAGGTCAGCCAGTTATGCCCCTTATGTTTAGAGTGTGTTGAAATGCCTTGGGCCATTGAAGTTGATAGAATTCTCCCTCAGCATACCTATTGCACCTCTGTTTTTCAACAAGCTATTTTGCACTTCCTGCCATGCCTCCTGCTCTTATACGATGTTATTTTCGTGTGCAGATTTGGAAACAGTCCTTGTAATATTTTCCAAGTGCAAATTATTATGTATCTCTTCAACCTGTACTCTAGGGAATACAGATTAAAAAATTTCAAGCAGTTCCAATAATTTAATGTTTTATCGAGTGGTTTCTAACAGTAAATGATCTTCGCACTTTCTCCAAGAAAGCAATTTATCCAGCTTTGAATATTGTGCAACAATATTCCACCTTAGAGAGCACTACTGTCTTGAAAACTGTCATCACTGTTATTGATCTCTTGTTTGAAAGTTTCTTATTATCCAACCTGTCCTTTTCTTACAGTACTATATTGAGACCTTTAAAGTAAGGTCTTCCGACATGAGTACTCCCAAATCTTTTAAAACGCTACTTAGTTCTTTGGTGTGATTTGACTGCATTTTATATGTGGTTTCTTAATTTTATTTTCCATAGCACTGGAACTGGAACTTATGTTCATTAAACATATTACGTTCTGTGACCCCTTTGAACAATCTGATTTACATCAGTTTGGAGGTTTACTCTTGTCTTCTATATTGTCTACTTTCATAAATATCCTAGTGTCATCTGCAAAGGATGATACAGTACCATGGACATGTTCTTGTCCATGTCCAATAAAAACCTGAGACGACTATTGGTCATGCATAATTACAGTCTGTGGCTGAAAGAATGGCACTAACTCTGGGTATTAAAAATTTTGGTTAAATTTTATGTAGCAATTCCTGGTTATTTAGCATAAACTTACACTACTGTAACTAAAAATATCAACTGAAGATAACATAAAATAAATATATGAAAAATTGTAATTGAGGTGAAAGATGACACGCAAACATGTTAAATCTAACTACTTCAATATAGCAAGGAAATACAATAGGAATTTTGTCAATTACAGTTTATGTCAAGAAAATATACATAACTTAAATATATACATGCATAGAATATAATGTAACAAAGTGATAAATGACATACATAACCGCTGGCCTTCTTGTCGAGTGGTATTTTTTCATATGACGGCGTTTCCCTGAAGGCTCCTGTAAAAGGGTTCTGCCACTTGACAAGCCACTCAATAGCCTTGGAGATTATCCGAGGCTCTATGAAAAGTATGTTTTCCCAGTCTTGGAACTGAGCTTGTTGGAGGATACGTGTTGTCCATGCTGTCAACCTGACAACAAAATGTGAACAAGGCATCAGAGATCAAAGCAAACTTTATTATATAACTGATCAAAATTCTCTTAGTTTCTCCAACTCTCATACACATGCTTTGCTATTCATAGAGAAGGATTTCACTGCTCTTAATAAACTTCCTCCAACTCTACTGATCACTCCTGTCATATGTCTTTTCTAAATCCATAAAGGCCGCAAACTACTCTCTTCCTCCATTGCTAGAAACTTTTTAATATCTATTCTAGACAAAAATCTGATTTGAGGAACCCATTTTGTTCCAAAATCATCCTTGCTCCGTCCATCTCCTACTCTAACTCTCTCAAAAGTTCTCCAGTGCTGCTTAATTCAGTTCATCCCTCCTCAGTTCTCAATTTTTTTCTTTCTCAATTGTGTAGAGCTTCCTGGAATCTTCAATCAAGTTCCTCAAAATTGAATCTAAAAAAAAAAAAAAAAAAAAAAAAAAAATGGCTAGAGTATTCAATAAAAAAGAAGAAAAAAAATGGAAAAAATTATAGGACTCTGGAATGTAACACTATTTTTTTAATATACAAGGCCTGTAAGTTTGATTGGACCAGATCGAACCTTTCACAGAATTTCTGGAAATTCTTTGGAATTTCACCGTCCAAGTGGTTGGAATCCATTCCTTTCCCCCGTCCCATACCAAATCCTTATCCTGACCCCCTTCCAAGTGCTATATAATTGTAATAACTAGGCACTTCCTCCTGATAGTTCCCTTCCCTTCCAGAAACCCAACCTTACACTACTCTCAGATTGCCTGTTAACACCATCTATGTCCACTTGTTCACAATATCTAATTCAAATACGAATATCGATTCTTCGTTTGTATTCGATGACTGTCTAATATTGCTGTCTTTTATGTGACAACGGTTACCCTTCATCTGAAAACTATTGTTTACCCCCCAACTTTCATCACATATATGGCAATATCATTCTCTAACACCATCAACACACACTCACACACACCCATAGTAAATGCATAGTCCAGTCAATAAAAATAAAATCAATAGACATATTGATCAATAAAATCCATTAGCTTAGGTATTTACCAAACACTGGGACCAGCAGTGTCCCACATTTTGAAGGACCCATCAGCACCAAATCTATATATGATGGCTGCCAACTCTACATTCAACTGGTCGAAAACATCCCGAACTTCTGCATAATCAAGTTGATTTGTGAGTCGAAGGTAGTGCAAGGTCCACAGATTCGCACCAAAGTTAAAAGTGGATGGTTCTGTTCCTCTCAGCTCCTTCCGTAACATCTGCATAGAGTCTACTGGACCCTGTGAAATGTAAAAAAATGTCTATGTAATCTACAATCAGTTATCAGCTTTATATGACCTTTTAAGCAACTATAGGCATTTTTGTTAAGATCATATTTATTGGCTAATGACACAATGTCCAACACACAAAAAAGTTTCCTTTTAACTAGAGAGGAAGAGAGAGGCGGGGCAGTGGGAAAAGGTTTTGGGGCTATAAACACAGATTAAATAAGACTTTGCTTGAGCAGCACAATATGCTTTACCATTTAGAGATAAGTAAATAAACATAATAGATCAATCAGTGCATAAAAGTATATTTCATTACTGTTTAATTTACTGTGAAAACATACTCTATTTTATTGTACTGTATAACCATTTACATTCTGATTTAATATTACCACTTTCATAAATTATTTAATATCACCATGTTGACCTCCTTTGAGACCATGGGACCTGTAGGAGCTTGCCCAAGGGACAACCAAGGGGTCCTGCTCGATAATGACCTTTTCATCCACCCTTAGAGCATGATTTTGTTTATACTGTACTGATATTATTGCTACAGAATGCAGACAAATAGCTGTACATTTTTAAGCACACTTAAAAGCAAGAATTTTTAGAGACTAATAACAGAAATAAATTTGAATAAATTACCAATTCATGAAATCAAGACAAGACACTCATGTATAAAAATCAGTATTTAAATAAGAATGAAATCCTGCAATTTATTTTATCACAACCATTAAAAAGTGAAGAATTTAATTAATAAATGGAAACAAAATGCCTTTAGAGATTGCAGATCAAATGTGCCGTACAAGTATTCCTGTATTCACCAGAACAAATCAAAGGCCATTTCAACTTACCCCATTTGGAAAGGACGGTCCAACAACATCCCCACAGATGGAAACATGACCTCTTGGCGATCCAGCAACAAAACGTCGTCGAATGTCCAAAGGTATCACAAAAGATTCCTCAACTATGATGTCCATGTACTCATAAACAACAGCTCTGTTCTTCAGGTCAAGTAAGATGGAGGTGTGGCGGTCTATTGTGGCTCCTTCAGGCTGACAAAATATTTTTTTTTACTTATGTATGTTTTTCATATGTTTTACTCAACAAAAAATAGAGAAGTTTGGTGAAATAGAGAAGACAAAATAAATTTCACCCAAGATGTAATTTCATAGCAATGAACAATGACTATATAATGTAGCTCACTGTAAAATTAATATCTGTTAACAACAGCCCCTAATACACAATTACTTGTACACAAGGAAGCACAAGTTGATGTCAGAAACACAAGTCAGACAGACACAAGAAAGTACTTGTATGAAGTATGGCAGAGGAATAAGTGGAAGAAGGTGGAAGCAAAAGTAGCAGAAACCATATCCATTCACAGCTTCATGAGTTGGTACAACAAAGCACTGTATAAAATTAGAATACTTGCATCAGTTACCTCACTGCTAAAAGTTGGGACTCAAGAATTGAACCTCATTTCCTCACAGACAGTTGGGATAAAGCAAGCATAAATACTAACTTTATAAATATTTAATAAATTAAATAAAGAGGACAGCACAATAGCACTTGCTACCCTGTAATACTAAGACAACTACAAATGACCATCCTAACAAACACATAAGTAAAATACCAACATTTGTTGGTATTTCCCAACATTCCCAATATTTTTACCATGGAAGAACCCCCTAAATTATTTTTTCATTAGTCGGTATCTTTAGCTTTAAAGTTTGAAGAGCAATAGGAAGTGAAGAGCTACAGGTACACCAGAAAACCGAAATGTAAGCATTGGGTTAATCTCATACTGACCTCAACCACTAGAGTGGCTGTTTCTTCATCCTTGCCCACTTGTGTAAGTGCTGACACAGTTAGTTCAATCTCTCCCTGATCAATGGTGGCAACTATTGGGAATATTATCTCCATTGAGCTTTCAGCATTAACCTGTAAATATGTATATAAATACTTTGGTTAAATATTATTATATCATTACAACAAATGATTCATGATAATTTCCCAAATTAAATAACTTTCTTTCATCAATTCTTAAAACAAGCAAATGATAAATATATTTGTACTCTGACGTAAAAGATATAAGTAATAAATGAAATTGGAGGTTAATTAATCTCAAACACCATTTCCAAGAGTACAATATACTAAGGTAAATAAGACACATTCAATATTAAGATACAGTACCTTCCATTTGCTCCAAAGAAAACAAAATGGAGAGCACTTGAATTTTTGTGAAAGTCAAAGGCTTGACGTGCTGTTAACTATTTAAAATATTAATAAATGACTGCCCCTTCACCACCACTCACTGAAACAAGATGTTGGTGGTCGCCAGCTTTGGTGCGTGGACGATAGAAGTCAACAACACCGTGCTCTTCCACCAACACAAAACGATGAGTATCAGCCCCGTGCAGAACTAACAAAATCATCATTTCCTGGGGTAGATTGTTGAATACCATGATTCGCATCCCAATCTGTAAGGAATCACTTCTGATACAGTATATTATGGAAAGACTGAACAAATAATGCACAATACAACTGAAGGTGAGACAGAGCAAGATGAGAAATAAAATTGCACATGATATTAAGAAGCCAGTAAGGTATGAGAAATAGGACATGTGCTAGCAAGAAATCAGTAATGCATGAGAAACATAACTACAGTGACTCAAGTATGTTGACCAGACCACACACTAGAAGGTCAAGGGACAACGACGTTTCACTTCGTCCTGGACCATTCTCAAGTCGACCATTCCCAATCGACTGGAGAATGGTCCAGGACGGGCCGAACCATCGTCGTCCCTTCACCTTCTAGTGTGTGGTCTGGTCAACATACTTTAGCCACGTTATTGTGACTCATCGCCTGCATACAGTGACTCATTATCATATCCAATAGAATCTTCACTGAAATTTTTGCGTATGGATTATTCAAATACCAGTGGAATATAAGCTGTAAAATAATTTTAAGACCTAAAAAGTCACAAAATTGTGGGTGCCGGTGAGAGGACACCAACTCCAATGGTCAACCTGACTACATCAATGTCACAATCTGAATGTGAATCACCACCTCGACCACTACACACCACCTCCACAAATGCAATTTCTTTTCTGATAGGAATGAACTGTAATTTTTATAAATTTGTCATTACTATTTTCAAAGTATAGCATCTAATATTTAAAATAGAAATATATCTATTTCAACAATATGTCTTGTGAATTTCAACACTTCACTTTCTTCATCAATAGTTTTGAATTAAATAATGATCTTAAAAAAAAAAAAGTAAATCCTGTTATATAATATTAATTATAAAGACAAATGCTGTACCTGCTCTCCTCGTCGGCAAGAATCGGGCATCTCCAAGCTGATGTACATTATTGGCATCGCTGAGTACTGAAAAATAAAGTCTCCTAAAGTATTATACTCAAAACCCATGAATAATGATACACTACATTAAATACACTACACTAAATTTCCTTCATTTTAAGGAATATGGTTCTTAATACTGCATAATTATTAATATAACAATTTTTGTTACCACTTACAAAGCCTATAAAAAAAATATTAGTTGCCCAACTATATTACCACTTCCTGTAACCCAGTGACTACTACTTAAACCCTCTGTCTAAGACAAGAAGGTGAGATGGAGAAACACCTCTGGAGGTCACAAACATCCTCCATATGTTAAAAAAAAAAAATATATAAAATTATTAATGAATACAACCTCTCAGTAAAGCTGATCTTAGAAGCTTAATGGTTCCCTTTACATTTGATCTTATGAGCCTAGTAAGAACATGCAGATTTCTGTAAAAGGTAACATTTCCCAAATCAATTCATAAAAAAAAAACTTGAAGAAATACACTAGTAATAAATCCACCGCATCAGAGGCAAAACTAAACATGTGATGCAGATTAAAATGAAACAAAGCTGACAAGTGACACAAGGCTACCTTACATGTGACACAAAGCTACCTTATATGTGACACAAGGTTGCCTTACATATGACACAAAGCTACTTTATATGACACAAACAACACCGACATACAACAAGGTTAGCTATTAAAGAAAAGCTCTCACTGATTAAATCAGTGAAGATTTAATAAGGTTTACTTACCTTCTGTGGGAAATCAATGAGGCCAAAGCCATATTCTTTGCTGACACTAAAGGCATTAAGCACGTACGGGTCGTCCACTTTGGGCAACTCAATATCATTCTGCTCATGTCCTTTGTGACCTGCAGATGGTAACTGGTTAATATGTAAACAATTCTTAATGAAATAACTTGCATACTAAATGACTAATGAACACAAATATTATCATTTTAATCCCAGTTTCTGAAATGTTATAAAATAAGAAATAAAAAAGATATTATACAATGAAAGTTGTCGGTATAAAAAGATGATTGCAATCCCCTTTGCAATGAGGGATGACAAGAGTCAATCCACTACATGTATCAGCTTAATACAAGGTGGGTACAGTGATGTAGCAAGATAAAGCAAGATTACAGTGTGATAGTAGTAGTAGCAGTAGTCCACTGCTACTACATAAGTAGCAGGTTAGAGGCTACTTTAATAACCCCATTTCACATGGAATTATTTTTTTTAACTAACTTTGTCTTCATTAAACAAGTCATGCTTAATTAGTAAGCCTGAGTAATAGCAAGAATTACCTGGTGTGTAATACTGGAAATCCTAATTTAAGTGTTTTTCCTTTTTTTTATAAATGTATAGTATTTGGGACACTGGCAAGACTATTAACACAATGTAATTCACTTATTCTGCATTAATTTCAAACAAAGATGCCATACTTTCAAGACATGAAACGAGGAGCAATTTCAAAAGATAACAACAATGTTAACAAAAGTAAAATTTTACAATTGTTTATGTATAAAAACTCTTAGAACAAAGTCAAATGACAAACACAAATCATCGCAAAGCTAAGAAAACGTACTTAAAATAGTGGATAGGGATACAAATCCCTAATGCAATAAAGTTCATAGGCTAACTTAGGGTTAATTTAGATTTAATTTAATAATTAAATTTCATAATTTAATTTAATAATTTAGATTTAGGAAATGCTCTGTGGCACAGTTTAAGTATAGTAAAGGAAGCAGAGTATTTATTTTAGAAAGGTAAACATGATACTGGACTCTCATCCACATAATGTACTACTTCTAAATGACATTATCTATTGTTTAACACTTCTATTGGTCTTCCACCAATCTCCTTGCTACACTTCATTACTACTTTCCATTGTCTTAATTTTGTTTATTCCTTTTATATCTTCACTCATTATTCAACTTTATTCATGTTTAATTAATCTTGTCATATAATGTTAACTTCCATCATTCCTTTTCTCTTGCCCTTTTTTTTCCTTCTCTTTGTATCCACAGAATCATCTGCTTTCTCTCGTCACCAACTGCTCCTGCCCCTTTGTCATCAAACCAAGTTCTGTCTCACTCCTCCTATCAATTTGTACAACACAACACAGCTGCTTAACATTCTTAAGTCATTCTTTTTGTTCATTAAACACACCATCCAGATTGACATGTTCAATCTCTTGCTGCAAACTCGCTACCAACGTTCATCTTGCACTTGTCAACCAACCCTCTTAATTTGAATGTCTCGGATCTTTCCACCTTTTGGATCTTTGTGAAGAGTAAACATCTACTTACAATTACACTTTATCTCACATAGCATTGTCTTGTGAGCACACAGGACTGAAGATATTCATCTCCCTACTTTTATATCACACATTACTCTTATATCACATACTTATGTCAGTAATTTTAAAGTGTTATATGACAAAGAGTGCTGGAAAGACGGGACACCACGAGCGTAGCTCTCATCCTGTAACTACACTTAGGTAATTACACTACTCTTATATCACATATACCACAAAGCCTATTAGACTTTACCTACTGAGATATTGGACAGAAAATCTAACCATAGTTCACTCAAGCTTCACTGTATTATATTAGAGCATTCACTTATGATCTAAAATACATAACATGATGAACGTTTATATATTATGACCTTACCTATATTTATATCAAGCCAAAGCCAATCGCCGTCTTCTGTATCATAAAAGTCTGAGAATTTAGCGTAACGATTGACACGGAATTCCAGTTCCCTGTCTGCCAATGGGTCAAAACCTGAAACAAAACAATGACAGTAAGTGTGATGAAAAGACAATAGCAGATAAAACATTTACACACACAATGTCCCAACAATGAACTTGCTCATGTACAAATACTGTACAGCAGAAACAAAAATTTAAACAGCTAGCCTTACTACTAATTCACATGAGTTCTAATTCTACTTCACTATTGACAATTATTTCTACTGTATATTTACACTGTACAGTATCTTTTGTCTAGGCTTAATTAATCATTAACACTTACAATACTGTACTCTATCAATACTTTTTACACTAATTTATATGCCTTTCAATCATATTTTATATCGTTAGTGGATGACTTGTCACGACTTGGTGGGAATTCAGCATCGGCGGGTGCAACATGGCTTGTAGAGCATTCGTTGCTGGCGGATGTTCCACGACTTGTCGATGGGAATTCAGCATCGGCGGGTGCAGCATGGCTTGTAGAGCATTCATTGCTGGCGGATGCTCCACGACTTGTCGATGGTAATTCAGCATCGACGGGTGCAGCATCGCTTGTCGACGAAGATTTTTCACGAACCGTTGAAATCATGAATTTATCTATTTTTGTCTGAATCTGATTTTCTCTGGCTAACGTTTTGAGACATTGCTTTAAGGCTGTAAGGTGTACATAAAAATTTCCAATAACCTCATGTTTACTTTTTATTGAATATTCAATGAGTTCCTCAACTTGTTCCAATCTTTTCTGATATCCGACACCTCTAGGCAGAGCCTCACCAACATCGTCCGAGTCATCATCAGAGTCATCAGAGTCATCAGAGTCATTTCCGAGAACACTTTGCGCAATCTGTTCTTCAGTTAACAATTCATAACCAGGATCGTAATCATTTTCTAACCATTCATTGATATCATTCACTTGTACACCCTGACCAGCTTGGAGCAACATTGTTCGGATCGTTTCTTCAAACCCTTCAAAATCATTGGCTTCATTTTCAAAACCTTCGAATTCACTATCAGATACTGCTGCTTCACATCTAGGCCTCTCTGTTAACAGTTTCTTCCATGAATTTGTTAGTGTGGTTTCTTTCACTTTATTCCAAAGCCTAGCCCAGTGGAATATTGCTTCCCTGATTGTGTACTTTTTTAGATTTTCTAGTGTTCTTTGAGCCCTTGTATCCTTTCCTGTCAATTCATCTTCCTCGCTAGGTAAAACAACTAAAACATCTTCAAGCATTGCTGTTTGGTACATACGTTTAGCAGCAAGGATAACACCTTGGTCCATGGGCTGGATCAAGGATGTTGTGTTTGGTGGAAGTGCCATGCATTTTATTCTGCCATCCCTTGAAATTAACTTGCTAATGGGATGAGCAGGAGCATTATCTAGCAGCAACAATGCCTTAACCTCACTGGCCTTTATTCCACATTTGTTGATCTGGAATTCTCTGACTTCTTTGCAAAAGTGGTTTTCAAACCAGTCCGTAAATATTATTTGATTAAACCATGATTTCTTAGAATTGTAATATATTACAGGTAATGCCTGCATTATATTTTTTAAGGCTCGAGGATTTTTAGACTTGCCTACCACGGCACATTTTGTCCTGTGAGAGGCATCAGCATTAGCACAAAGCAAGACTGAGAGCCGTTCCTTGCTTATCTTTCGTCCAGGAATATTTTCCTGCATCCTACTGGTTAAGGATGTACTTGGTACAGCTCGCCACATAAACCCAGTCTCATCAGCATTATATACTTGATATTTCCTTAAATTATTACTGACAATGTACTCGTTTAATTTAGCCTTGAATGAATCAACATTAGTGGGATCAGCACTTGACGCCTCACCAGAAATTTTTTTGGTGTTTGAAATGTTATGCCGAGCCTTAAATCTTCCAACCCACCCATCACTTGCACTGAAATCTTTTATACCTAATTGAATGGCAAGTTTACTTGCTGCAACTTTAAGCTCTTCAAATCTTATTGCCATGCCAATTGTGCGGTGCTGAATAAACCACTTATACACTGCAGCATCCAATTGTGGATACTGACCAGACTTTACTGTTTTTCTCGAACATGCAGCACCAGAAGTAGCACACTCTGTTGTGCTCACATATTTTAATAGAGTATCCTTCTGTTTCTTGATGTCACTTACTGTACTTTTCCCTATAGGTAGTTTAGGTAATTAAACATTACTGTATTGTATACGGTATATAGTACAGTACTGTACAGTATAAATTACGGTACAACATGAAAATATTATTATAAATGGCACCCCAAAAACCGAGAAACTATTTATACTTTATATACTTTACAGAAATCTTTACAGATACTTTATACTTTACTTTGAAATACTGATACTTTTTATATACTTTACAGAAATCCAGAATTAAAACTATCTAGAAACATTACCAAAGCCTGATTTGGCCTTGTAATTTTTAGATTATCATATTTTTCCAATATATTTACTAGTGTCCTGAAAAAAGCTGAAGAAGTTATAAACTTATTGGGGTTTCATATCTCAGTCTGTCTTCCTGAAGACCTTCCTCCTAATTATACTACATTTATATTACAATTTAATGAGACATACTGTACTAAGAAAACCTGTCATTCTGCCCATCTAATGTCTACTTACAAGTAGTGAAATGACCTTTTTTTCCTTCTTATAAACAAGGTTCTGAAACTGTCAGAATAGGTCAGACCCCGCAAAAATTGGTACGATGGATAACTTTAGTTTTAGTGGGGATATAGAGAAGAACTAGTTTGGGAATAAGGTTGTGAAATGGATTGCCAACAAGCATTATTAATTAAGACAGTGTAACAAGTTTTAAGAACAGATGGGATAGGTATATGGGTGAAAGGGGGTGGATTTAATTGGGACTGAAATGGAGGAAAAAAGTTACACATTAAACATTATAGAAGAAATATAAAAAAAAGTAATGTAACTGCAAGCGATGAGTCATAATAACGTGGCTAAAGTATGATGACCAGACCACACACACTAGAAGGTGAAGGGACGACGACGTTTTGGTCCATCCTTGACCATTCTCAAGTCGATTCTTGAGAATGGTCCAAGACGGACCGAAAAGTCGTCGTCCCTTCACCTTCTAGTGTGTGGTCTGGTCATCAATGTACTGTAACTGCAATTTTACCACTGCACTACACAGTAACTATATATGGCAGTCTGTACAAATGCTCACAGCTTGGCATACTCACAATCGACCTCATCGTAGCCATCAGAGCAGTCAAGAATACCATCACAACGTTTCTTAGATGGATAGCAGCCACCCATGAGACATCGAGAATAACCATCTGTCGCATTACACTTGCTCTCTGGAAAATAGTAGTAAGAAAGAATTTTAATAAATCAACAAAGTCCAATGTTAACTTGTCAACTGCTCTAACAAAGAGCAAATATTCCAAATTTGAAATCGTTAGGATTCAATGATTTTAATGACAAATTTAAGCTCATCTGCCCAAGATAAGACAAAATTCTCATCATTTCAAAGCATCTTGGCCATGAAAACTATTCACTACTTAACTATAAAGATAAGTTTGTTCCTAACTCACTTTACTTTTTGCCTTATAATTACAAACTAGGTATGTATACAGATGCATTCTAGGACTTTACATATTTGGCTTTTGGCCAAAATTAATACTCAATAGAATTATTTGTTGACCTACAAAAAACCATTAACATTGTTGACCTTAATAACCATCTACATTACTCTTGGCAAAATATTACAATTAAACTTTAACAAAACTAAATCTTCGCTGCCGGTTTAGTTTTGGAAAACACTGATATCTCCCAGGTCAGGATATCATTTTAAATAGGATGTCTAACAAACCCGCACAAGGCTGATCCAAGACCTGAACTGTACATCAAACTTCTAAGCTGTAGTACACACTACAACACTTACCGGCATAACCAGGAATGACACCAACGTTGGCATCGGTGAACACCACAATTCCACTAAAATCAAACGTCCTATTAGCATCTGGGCCGTAGTTGCCAGCAGTGTAGTACTCTACTTCTTCAGGCTGGTAGCCTTCACGGTACCGCCAGGTCATCTTGTGGATTGATCTGGAAAAAAAATTAATAATTACTTTCACATGTCTTTGAAGATACAAACAAATGCTGACAGCATAACATACATTAATAGAATGCCATAATGCAAAACTAATGAGGTGATAAAAGTTTAAGTCAGTATATAACATACCTTTCTGCACAAAATCATTTGACAGTCACAAACTTTTCAAAAGATTCTTGGAGGGATATTACAAGAGCAGCAAGTCACTGGTGAAAACTCAATAAGCCATGAATGATGGAAGCAAATTCATAAACAAAAATTAATAATAATAAAAAAAATCCTACATTCAAGATAACTCTGAATGTGCCAATTGGTTTCCTTGATATCAATGAAGACGATATCAAGTGAGGCAAGTCAAATATCTGGCAATAGGACTATGGAAAACCAAAATGATATTCATACAGAATATAAGACAAGGCAGGAGGGTATTTACCCCTAACCAAATGATAATTATTCTCTCCTTGGTAAACCTTTTTTTTACCACAAAGAAAACTTATACAAACCACTTTCTTGTTGAATATCTCCTGGATATGAAAACATAGTACAACAGCCCAAGGCCAACACTTCTTAAGAGGATTATGCCCAAGCTAGACCCTTGGGGCATAGCTTGGGCATACCCTCAGATGGAACATCTGAGCTTAAATACATGAAAGCACTCATGACAATGTCACTGGGCTTTACCCTGCCTTAATCCCCCTAATCAGCTTCATGAACATCTGCAACTTGAACACTATACACACCATCAGCATTTAAGATATTAAAATTAACAATTAAATTAAATCAATAATTTATACTTCAGAATTTATTTAGCATACAAACACATTTGCTAAAGTTTATATTTTTCATTACACTATATCACACATTTACAAGATCAATGATGAACAAAATACCAGAGCTGTATATTCAATCTAGGAGGAAAATGATTACATACCGGGTACTGTTGGCAAATTCATGCAGCGCATTGAGCACAGATGCATGGGAGAGCTCATTACCGCCTCGCATGGCATAGGTGAACTCTCGCACTCCTGATATACCATAGAAGGCCCCTGGTGTGCTGTATGTGCCCAATTCTACCGAGCGAATACTGTGGTCTTTGTGTTGGTTAATATTCAGTTTAACCTGAAACAAAACATTAAACAATTTAATCTGTATACTATGGCAATTGTTATAGATTCCATGATCACATGACCGGTATTTTACATTTATCAGGTACATATAAAGAGTAAATTATTTATATTTTCCCCTGCAGTATTGGTATACTGTATATAAAAAAAAAGGTCAGAAACACACTCCAATTCTATAAATCCAAATTTCTTTGTCCCGAATGTCCACTAAGTAAAACCCAGAATATTGCCAACTGGCAAAACTAAATAATACTACACTTCACTGACTGACTAGTTACTCTACTCTTTACACACAGCTGCATCACAAGATAAATAACTATTGGCACCGGAGAATTTAAAAAGTTCAAGCAAACAACTGCTTTCACATACAGTAATTGTTAAAATGTTTACCCCAAATATTTCTTGCTGATGTAGAATCAACCAGCGTGTAATAAATGGGATGACAGTTACAATGTATGACTTGGGCTAATGAATAGGAACTACCAAATAAACAATCAGTAAATATGGTTATATGAAGGATTACGTAACATGAGATTATGAAAGGTCAATTGTTAGAGAAGGCCTGAAAGAACATACTGAGAATGACTGATATTAGGCTTTTAAGGTTGATATATGAGTGACAGTACAGTAGGGGTTAAGTGATGGATTAATAATCCTCTTCATGGAAAAAGGATAATTAAAGATTACATGTAGAAGTATCATGAAGGTGTAAGGAATATAGAATGAGCAATATCCTGTTTGGTTATGACTAACAAAAGGCTCTTACTTTTGTTTATGGCCCCACCTTGGATGGGAGTTCCCACAGAAAACAAAGTGACAATGTAGCATATAGACATTTAACAAGCTGTCATTATTCAAGACAAATTCCACTTCAATAAAAGAGCAACACTTTACCTTGTGACGTGAAATTCCATCCACTGGAACAGTTTGTGAATCAGAGATAATCTCATTATTGTGGGTGAGATGATATACAACAATCTTGAATGCTGGGGCCATCTCTGAACTCACGGGGACGGAAATTGTCTTGACGCTGGCTCGGCTGGTTCTCTCCAACACTTCCTTCGCAGCATACATTATCATTTCTTTTGACATAATCTGAGTTAATACAAGTAAATATATAAGTAAATACTATAATTATAGTACCGCACATATAAACGAGTGTACCTCGCCAAACACTCAACCAATCTGACTATGTGGGAGGGATCTCGACCTAGATGACTAGACATGTGGGGGATACTACCAAGGAAAGCATAAACACATGTATAACAAACACATCCATTAACAAATGTAGAAATCTCTCATGAAGCAGCAGAGTAAAATGAACCCAAGAAATAAAGGTATTCAAATCAAGAAACAATAACCAAACCACAGAAAACTTACCAGGTAGTGGAAGGAATCCATGTTAAAATTGGATCGAACATGAAACACCACAAATTCACCAACAGAAACTGACTTGCTGCTTGTTTCCACGCCAATGTACTGTTTCTGTGACATAAATAAAATGTATTGGTGTAGACTCTATGCATGCGTACAATACAACATTTACGTTTAATGAAATACATTAAATCATAAGCATGAAAATGTTAAAAAGAAATATTTTTCAGTATCCAAAGACATAGTAGTACAGTACTTACCTTAGATGAATAATATGCCATTGCTTGGGCGCTTGCTGCAGCAACCGAGCCCGTGTCATCTTGATATGAGGCAGTTAATGCAATCCCTGCTGTTTTATCTGGCACATCCACTTTAATATGGAACACCCCCTTTTCACGGTATTTCTGTGAAGATACAGAGGTACAGCATTACAAAATGTGAAACGCACTAAAAGTATTTGTAATTACAAGCAAAAACAAAGAGTTTAGTTACCTGGAATTGTTCATTTTTTAAGAAAACTTCCAGCTTTTTCTCCACTAGTTCATTTTCTGTCAAATAACGTGCCCCAGTAATAGGGTCAATACCAATTTTAGGATCATAGTCCTCAGCTTTGTAGGTGGGATCCTTAGCCAAAACTGCCTGCAGTCTCTTATTGTAGAGCCAAGATGCCTGAAGAAACTCATTTTCCTCTTCCTCTGCATTAACTTGTGGTATCTGAAAGAAAGTATCTTTGAGAAGAAAAATCAAAGTAGAGTACAGTGCTTGTATAGGTATTTGCATCTTGACCCATAATTTTAAAATAGTTATGACAGAAAATCACCAGAATATTCAATTAACTCTCAACATACTACACACCTGTCCACACGAGCAGAGATCCTATACTGCTAGAATTCACTCAGTAAAACACCTAAACTATTGGGACCGACTAAAGAGCCTAAATCTGTACTCCCTTGAGCGCAGGCGGGAGAGATATATAATAATTTACACTTGGAAAATGTTAGAGGGGCTGGTCCCAAACCTGCACACAAAAATAACATCACATGAGACCAGAAGACATGGCAGGATGTGCAGAATACCCCCGTTGAAAAGCGGAGGTGCAACAGGTACTCTGAGAGAGAACTCTATCAACATCAGAGGCCCGAGACTGTTCAACACGCTTCCGCTACACATAAGGGGCATAACTGGCCGACCCCTCACAGTGTTCAAGAGAGAACTGAATAAGCACCTCCAAAGGATACCTGATCAACCAGGCTGTGACTCATACGTCAGGCTGCGAGCAGCCGCGTCCAACAGCCTGGTTGATCAGTCCAGCAACCAGGAGGCCTGGTCGACGACCGGGCCGCGGGGACGCTAAGCCCCGGAAGCACCTCAAGGTAACCTCAAGGTATGGTGCTTTACTCTTTTCCCATGGAATTTCCTGTAGATAAGTTCTTGCCATCCTGTAGTTTAGAGCCCTACTCAACCAATTATGAAGTATTAAAAGTCAAGTTTATTGTAATTAAATGCCCTTTCATGGGCCGCCTCCAAGTTTCCTGGTGCATTAAGTCTTGTACCAAGGAGACTGCCACAAGATTACCAAGCCACTGGACTTGCACAAGCCTACAGAGTATCAGGGTCATAATTTGGTGCGTTCAGATGCGAGTGGAGCACAGGAATCTATGATCAACCCATATAACTGAGTAAAACTACCCAGAAAGTAACAGTGGCACCTTGGATTTTGAATGTCCGTTTTCGAGCTCAATTTTTTCGGAAAATTTGACTCTGTACTCGAGGTTTGCCTCAGTGCACGAGTTTGTTGATACACATATGGGCCGACTGAGCGCGTGGCGCGCTTCAGTTTACCCGCCTAGTGACGACCGCGCTTGAATTCTTTGTGAAGAATTTTGTTGTTATTATACTTCTTTGGTTTCTGAACATAAAAGTTCCTATTACATATATCACACCATGGGTTCCAAGAAAGTCAGTGGTAAAGTTCAACCTCAGAAAATAGTTGTGAGGATGACAATAGAGAAAAAAAACAAGAGATCGTTCAGAGTGAGAATGTGATGTCTGTAGTGAAACCTAGACAAGTAAGACGAATGTTACAATGAAGGGAAAAACAAGTATTTATAGACAGAGTAAGAAATATGCTTTGCTTTTTTTGCAAAGCAATGAGCCACAAAACAGAAAAGCAAGCAATGAGCCACAACCAGGTCCTAGTGGTATGCCTACAAAACACAAGAGAGAGAATATACCATAAATGTCATCACTGCCATTATAATGGAAGGTCACTAACACCTCTTCTTCTCCCCCTTTCCTCACTGTCTTCCATACGACAACATGAGTCCTCAATAAAGGTAAGATATACTTGTACATACTGTAGTGAAAAATATAAGCAGCAGTACTGTATGTATAAAATGTATTTTCAAGTTAATATTTTTGGGGGTGTGAAACAGATTAATTCAATTTACATTATTTTTATGGGAAAATTTGTTTCAGTTTTCGAACTGTCTCTGGGAACGAATTAAATTTGAAAACGGAGGTACTGTACCACTATATAGGCGAAACAATACAAACTACTTATGTTGAGGAAGGAAAGAAAAAATGAAAACAAGAGAAGCAGTAATCTGCCCAACATCAATAAACCAAGTGCTAGCATCCCTGTGCACCAGCTACTTGTTATCTATTTTGGATGTGAGCGAGTGAGGATATTCACTTTGCCGAGCCTCTGCAGTGCTGCTGCTCATTTATGGTCACTGGTTTGTTTCCTAGAGCCCTACCATACAACTTCACTCACCTCCACATTATAGATAATTTTTCTAGCACCAGATTCTGATAAAGCTTCAGCCTTCACCACTAGCTTGGAGCTGTGAAGCTTTTCAACACCAAGTGGCTGCAGGTCATGGTAGGAAACTGCAATCTGTAATTACACAAGATTTTTTTTTTTTTACTTGGGAACAGGAAACATGTTAATATGCAGGCAATGAGTCACAATAACGTGGCTAAAGTATGTTGACCAGACCACACACTAGAAGGTGCAGGGACGACGACATTTCGGTCCATCCTGGACCATTCTCAAGTCGATTGTCTCAAGTCGATTGTGATCGACTCGAGAATGGTCCAGGACGGACCGAAACGTTGTCGTCCCTGCAGCTTCTAGTGTGTGGTCTGGTAAACATGGTAATATCCTATAAAGTATTTCCCATATCTATACAGTACATGTAAATACTATTTTATGTTCTATTAATGAAAGTTAATTATAAATCCAAGGTGACACTTTTCATTGCATATAATAATACAAATTGGGACTGTATAGCAGTCCCAAGTATTTAAATCATTGAAAAATTGTACTGTGGTGATGCAGGAGGGCTGAGAGAATTGCACAATCCAAAGGTTAAAGATAACATATGTATAACAAATTTTGAAAAACAAAAAGTTTATTAATATTCAAGTGTCAGAGACAAACCAAGTGAATACATACCACTGGCATGCAAATCATATTACAACCTTGACTAGAGTTTCATCTTAAGACTATAAAATGTATTGTAACTTACAGATGTTTCAAATGGCATTCCAGGCTTGAACACATATGGAGGAGAGCCCAAGAAGCGACAGTTGACAGACGAATTGATGATCTTGGCCATTGAGAAACCCTTTTCAGTTATCATTGTAAATGTTTCTGTAATCTCCGCTTCAACGCGAACTTCTGACCCATCCAACACTGGAACTTTTTTAGAAATTTCCTCCATAGGAAAACTGTACTCATCCTCTGAATCAAGCTGCAATACAAAGATATTTTAATATACAGTAATAAGCAAGAACTAAAACCCACCCTCTAGCTCCTGTTCAGAACTCCTCCAGTGACATTCCCAAGACATACACATACACATTGAGCCACAGAGACATTAGAAAGAACTTTATCAGTGTCAGAATAGTTAGTAAATGGAATGCACTAGGAAGTGATGTGGAGGAGGCTGACTCCATACACAGTTTCAAAGGTAGATATGATGGAGCTTGAGGAGCTCAGGAATCTGTACACCAGTAGATTGATGTTTGAGAGGTGGCACCAAAGAGCCAAAGCTCAAACCCCGCAAGCACAACTAGGCGAGTACATCAATCAAATAACTGTGATCTTTATCAACCAAAATGTTGAGTAGAAAAATCTTTCCCACATTAGATACAAAATATTTTTGAGAATATAGTAAACACCGGCCCATCTTTCTCACAATGGCATGTGTAAGAATGAGGTCCCACTATAGCTGCACTATTTTAATGGTGCTGAAATTTGATATACTTCAAGCATTGAACACTTTATTAAGCAGCCTAATTGTTCATCCTGACAGAAGCTTTATTATGGGCATTTAAGATGATAATTCACTTGAAGGAACTAATGGTAATACAAAAAAAATATATATATATATGCGTTACTATTTCATTTAAAATTCACATCTTTATGAAGTACAAACACAGTATAATCCTACTTTATATACAGTAACTTAATCACAATTTGACTTATTATAATGGCTCTGGGATTATAAATTTCAAAATCAAATGTAAAAAATCACTTACTGGAACAAATTCTTGTTGCATTACGAAGATCCAGTCTTTATGGTTCTTATTACGCACAAAAAGTTTCAAGGTGGCATTACCATAGGCACCTTTATCATTTCCAAATTCTCCTCCCACTTCACCTGTGACTGCTTCATCAGTCTCCAGAAAATACTTGGGCATGAACAATTTCACCTGTAGATATGCAAAGGTTATGACTAATTTGCGAATGAAAACATATTATACATATATACTGTATATATTTATATTATTTATAAACAAAATACATTACAGTGTGCACCAAGCCAAGTCTTCATCTTCAGCCATTTTACAATAATTTTCAATAATATAAAGTCTTGTCTAATTACCCAACATAATTGAATTGAATTTACCCAAGGGCCACCATCTCCCTAGTGGCCGTGATGGGGACAGGAAGCCAGTGGCTTGTTAAAGGTCCCCCCCACCCCAAACCACAAATTGTTCCTGAGGATATTTTCCAAGTGGATTTTGAACTGCAGTAATATCTTGGCATTTGCAGCTTCGACAGGTGGGCAGTTCCATTGGTTTATAACCCTACAGCTGAAAAAGCATCATCTGTTTTCTGTCCAACATTGTAATCTGAGGTGGAAACTGATGCTCCTTACGTGTGTTACATTTGATCTTTTAAAGAATAAGTCAGGATTAATATCCTGAAATTTGTTTAGTATTTTACAGGTTTTGACGGGGTCAGCCATCTCGTGCCTGCTTTACCATATTGTTAGTCCTGGTATGAGAGTTGACTTAGTTTTGTGATGATTTCTGTCGCTCTGTGTTGAACTTTCCCAAAAACAGATACATTCTTTTGAAGGTAAGTTCTACATGCTTGGGTACAGTAGTCGAAATGAAGGTTCACCAGAGAATGATTATTATATAATAATACTACAAGAATGATTACAGCTATGCCCAAAACAAAACATTAGGAATAAAAACTTTTCAATATTATCCATAACAGCAATTCAAGTTCACTTTAACAATTCCTTGCATACATTAATTCTATCAATTCAAGCAAGTATCTTGACTGAAATGACACACTATAATCCTATCAACATACACCAAATGTTATGCTCAGAATTCCATTAGGTCGCCATTGAATAATTTACCACCACATCACTCTTTACTTTTTTCAACATTTTTATCTAATTTGTTGTATCTGAACAAATAATCAGCAAATACAGGCCTTGATCACTCACCTCAAAACGTGGGGTGTACCACTTGTCCACTTTAATTCTCTTTATTTCTTCCTGGCCATTAACAAGAGCTTTAATGCCCCACCAACCAACTTTGGGCAGAAATGGAAGAGTGAAGGACATGGATACCACACCCACATTGGTCGGGCGAGAAGGCCAGCGACGCATCACATACCCATCTGGATCCTGAGAGAAGTAAACAATAAAAAAATATATATATGCATCAAAAGACTAATTGCAGCACCTAACAGCTCAAACTCTGAGTTATCCCTACTTGTAGTAAGTGATATTACATTTAAGATGAGTAATGAAATAACACTCATACCAATAATACATCAACTAATAGACTTCTGTCCTGCAATGAGATTAGGAGCAGGTGAAGATAAATCTAAAATAACTGGCACAATATAAGTGCTACTGTTATTGTCAAAGGAATGTGTACAACACACATCTATAAAGGTCATGATGAGCATGGAAGGTTCCACAGGATCATGCCATTCTTTTATTGGCCAGGTCCCCAGAAAGGGTGATGTTATGCTTCCCACCCGCAGTACACTCACACTCACAGTGATAATGGCCAGAGCCACTATCATAGACATGGTGAAATAGAACACTACATCTCCCAACCTGGATGAATGTGTGTGTGTGTGTGTGTGTGTGTGTGTGTGTGTGTGTGTGAACCTATTGGGATTTCAGGACGAGTCATTAGTATGTAATCACTATACTGTACCATGAAAACTGACTTCCACCAAAATGCCCATAAAATCTAATACCAAATGTGATATTCACACCTCCACCACACCTTACACTTGTTGCTAAGTGCTGCATCTAACTCCCCCATGTTCAGTACCAACACAGCCAAGTCATTGTAAATATTTTACATAATTTAATACTGACCAGAATGTACACATCAACAGGATCATCATATGCCTTGAGCTCAGTGGTCAGGAGGATGATTCGAAAACGAACTGGAAATATGCATCTCATTATTACAAATGTCACACACAAAGTAAACATGTTATCTAATGAATATAGCAATAGTATATTTTACCACAAGAGGACAAAATGACTGGTGATTAGAACAACTCAAAGTAGCATTAAAAATGTGAATGCATAATAACAAAATATCCTATATACATGTGCAGTATACTAAAGGACAGTGTATATTCCATGTACAATTTAAAAACAAATATTTTGCAATGGAAGAGATTATGATATAAGAATTAGCAATACAGAAGAGCATAGGAAAATTTTAACTGACCTATCTGGTCACCAGTGTACACAGGACGGTTTGTCTGGATGAGTATGGTGAGGAAGCGAGTCGAGAAATGTAGACGAGTATCATTTAAGAACACTGTACCGCCGATAGTTCCAGGCACATTGCCCTCCAGGCGCAGACGGTAATGCCCATTTACACTTGTTCTTGGAACCTGACGAGTTTAATTGCAGTTTGAGTATAGTCAAAAGATGTTTACTACTGCCTAGTGCAATCAGTGTCTATTAATCTTGTTTAAATTACCAATCAAGCTGTCAATGTAATCAATCAGAGCTTTAATATACCAATGTGCTTTAATATACTTACTAATCTTTCTCATCTCATTTTTTTTCTTGTAATGTATTTGTTATCATTTTATTAATTCTGCTAGAATTTACCTACTTAAAATTATCTGTTAGATTAAGGACCTGCCCAAAATGCTGCATGTACTAGTGGCTTTACAAGATTGTAAATACTATGCTATGTATTCTCTCAAACCCAATGTACCTTCTTGTATATAAATAAATAAATAAATTACTTCTTACACATTACATTCTTCCATAGACAGTCAAAGTGTACTAGTCTGCTACACAAGATTACTGCAATCCCTTAAACTAATTCCTCCTTTACAAAACATCACCATTCCACTTCCCATTATTCATGGAACCCAGAGAAAATAGGACAGCAATAGCATGAAAAAATCATAAATATTACAAAAAGTATGTACAATAAACTCAACTTTATCTGACATTATACAACAGCAGCTAGATATTTAAACTGAGCAACACACTCAAGCACTTCTCCAATCACATTACTTTTACACAAATTCCTGAACATGTTAGTTCCACTTTTGTCCACTCTCACCAGTCTTCTTACATACACATTTTCATATTTACATTTTATCAAATCAATCTTACTGAATATTAAGGGTTTCTGTTTCCATTGGAATTTACTTGTTAAGTAGGAGAGCTTTAAACGTGTTCTAACACTCATCTATAATATATATAATCTAAGTCAGGTCACATATACAGTAGTTGAGACATGTCATCTTAAATTGGTCAAAAACAAGTGATCCAATGATACACAAAACAGGAAATACAAAAATAAACAATATTTACTATATTTAATATAAAATACACCCATGTATACCATTACAACAACAATACTCAACCCAAAATAAACCTTAAATAAAACTACAATACCAAAAATACACATGGCTCACCTGTAGGAGTAATGTCTCTGGATACCCTTTAATAATATCCTTTTTGGCTGAAGCTATTTCCACTCCATCCTTCTGCAATGATGCTCGTACATCAACGGGATAATCAAGATGCAAGATGCTAACTACACACCGGTAGACTGCCCCAGGACGCAGCATTCTTGATGCCATTATCATGTGCGTTCTGATGGACATAAAAAAACAGTTTTCATATTCCATACACTAAAAACATTTAGAACTAGTGTGGCCTTAATAAACTGTCATAAACAGCTGTCAGAACTGTTTATATGTACAGGGTACCAAAAAAACATATACGCCTATGATATAACTATCACATCTACTCAAGTATAAATCAACAAAATGGGAAAGTTCCACCTGATAAAAAAATATAACTGCTTAACACTTTAATATGTAGATCAAGTTTAATCTAGAGGTTTTATCACCTACTATTAGCAGTCCCCCGTGGTGCAGTGGTAAAACACTCGCCCAGCACTTCACGAGCGCCTTGGCCTAGGTTCGTTTCCTAGCCAGGGAGAATTGACTGGGCGCCAGTCCTTAACTGTACACCTCTGTTCACCCAGCAGTGAATGGGTACCCGGTTTTCCCCTGGGATATGACTCGCCAAATATTTGGCGAGTCATATCCCAGGGGAAAATTAGGATTAAGGACCTGCCCAAAATGCTGTGTGCTAGTGGCTTTACAAGAATGTAAGAACTCGTTTATATACATAAATACAAAAATCCAACTCCTTTTCCTTGGAAAAGTTAATCTAGAATAACCTAATCCAGTTGCAGGCGATGAGTCACAATAACATGGCTAAACTATGTTGACCAGACCACACACTAGAAGGTGAAGAGACAATGACGTTTCGGTCCGTCCTGAATCATTCTCAAGTCGATTGTGATGAGGAAGTAGAGACAGGCAATAGATAGGCAAGAGAGACATGAGGAGCAAAGTAAGGTGTAGTAGAGGGGATAGTAGTAGGAATAAGAACTGCAGAGGGCCTATTGGCCCATACAAGGCAACTCCTATTATAACCACCAAATGAGAAGGAGATAGTAATAGGAATAAGAAGAGGATAGTAAGGGAACGTAAGAGAAAACAATGAACAGAAAAAAAAGAGAGAAGGGAGAAAGAAAAGGAAAGAGAAAGAAAGATAAATGGAAGGGTAAGCTATGTTAGGTCACGTTTGTTAGAAAGATTTTTTTTTAGATATATACAAGAGTTGTTACATTCTTGTACAGCCACTAGTACGCGTAGCATTTCGAGCAGGTCCCTGGAATACGATACCCGCCGCGAAGAATCGTTTTTACAACCAAGTATACATTTTACTGTTGAGTTAAACAGAGGCTACAGTTAAGGATTTGCGCCCAGTAAATCCTCCCCGGCCAGGATACGAACCCAGGACAAAGGGCTCGCGGAATGCCAGGCGAGTGTCTTACCACTGCACCATGGAGACTGGAGATTAGAGCATTTGAGTATATACTGTGAAAGGGAAGAGTCCACAGCAACAAAGCTAGGACTCAAGTTCATGTTGGGTACATTGTCTATTAGAGCCGATTCAACAAGACGGCGTCTGTGTAGAGTAGAGGCAGGAAAGATTATTTTGGAGGAAGACCAATCAATAGGATGATTGGAATCCCTCACATGACAGAAGAGAGCATTGTTAGTGTCTGCAGACTTAAAACTTCTCTTGTGTTCTTTAAGTCTGTCATTCAGTGTACGGCCAGTTTCGCCAAAGTATTGGAGAGGACAAGACGAACAGGAAGTAGGGTAGACACCAGCAGCATTAGAAGCAGTGTGCACTAATCCAGTTGATTGCAACTCATCTGCAATCTAATCGAGCCTTACCTAATCAAACCTAGTATTACTTAACCCAGTCTAATCTAACAATACATAGTTTTAACAATTAGAAAACTGTGTGTGAAACACACACATAAGATTTAACCATAAGGAGTACTCCAGTTCAGGGTAGTCAATCTTTGTACACAGCCACTTCAGGGTAGTCAATCTTTGTACACAGCCACTTCAAAAACTAGTTTTATAAAATATAAAACTAAATATCATTAAACTCAGGCTGGATGTGCCTCTGTAACCCACTCCAACACTGCCCACAGGATGGGTATGGGGTGCATAATATTTGACCCAACTCAACCGGGGTGTTTGGTTCAATAGGGTTAAGCTGGGTTGGGTTGGATTGGGTTAAGTTAAGCTGGGTTGGGTTAAGTTAGGTTAGAAAAATATTAAAATCTGAAGGCGAAGCTACTATGGTACGAAACGACTTATGTCCTTCCAGTTTCCAGCAATCTTTCAGACTAATTCAAATATTCTTAACATAAGGAATATCTTATCAGATTTCGCTTGTCAAGATGGTTTTCAACGGCTAGTTCTAACGTCTAACAACGTTATGACGTAATTAAGAGCAGAGAGTGAAGTAGGAAGATATTAAAGAGGCCGAGGCAAGCTTACGGATGATTGTGGCGGTTGTCCAGCCTTAGTCTGTTGCGGAGAACACCCTTGTAGCTGATGTCCTGGCCATATTTCAGCCCCCTGGGGTCATCAGCAGGCCTACCCAGGTCCTGGGGATCACCATACACCACACTCACCACCACCAGCACCACCACACACTGCCACACCCTCGCCATTCTTCACCACCCACGAGCCACACCTCTCTGAGTGTAGTCAACCCACACACACACACACACTTCACACCCTCCTCTTGTGTATCACATTATACTCCGGTGTCTTGTGAGGCAGAGTAAGGTGAGGCTGAGGCGAGAGAGGAGGTGGTTGATGGCTGTGTGTGTCTCACAAGGTCAGGTGCGCGGGGGAGGTGGCGGGCGTTGGGGTCTCTTCTCACACACTCACACACCCCATTGTCTCCCTCCTCACACACTCACACACCCCATTATCTCCCTCCTCACACACTCACACACCTATTATCTCCCTCCTCACACTCTCACACACCTATTATCTTCCTCCTCACACTCACACACCTATTATCTTCCTCCTCACACCCTCATAACACCACTCTTCCTCTCTACTCAATTCTTACAATATATATCAAACTCGTATGTACTATTGTATGTACTAGCTCTATCTATAAATCTATCAATTTTTGTATAACCTCTTGTATGTATGTACTTTACCTGAATAAACTCATTCCTTAATTAAAAAGTATATATCTGATGTAATTCTAGATAACTTCGTTATTAGAGGAGTATTACATCCAGCCTAATTAATATTTAACGTAATTAAGAATTGATATATTAAACATTGGTACAGTTATTGGTACATTAGTGCACTCTTAAGACACAGCATAGTAAAATGTACGTTAATACTCGATCGATCCGGATTATTTAAATCATTATAATTATACTGTAGCTGCTGTATATATTTAGAATTGTGTGAATGATTACAAGTTGAATCTATAGAAGTGAGTTTTTATTGGTGATATGACTAAAATTAAGTGATTTTTTTTAACATTGTTGAGCTCCAAAACCATTCTGTTTTACTATTAATTTAAATTAAGCTTTACATTGGGTGTTTTTATTAACCTGAGGGTCGACACCATCACTATAAAACGGCCTCGATTGAATAATTATTGTTTTCAGTGTTGCCGCTGGAGACGGCTATTGTGTTCTTCATACTCATGGGTTACAGAGGACACAACTGGTCCTAGTCAGTAGCCTCGACGAAGACAGGAAGCCAACGGCTTTACCTGAGGGCCACTAACCCTAGTGGCCTTGATGAGGACAGGAAGCCGGCGGCTTGTCGAACGTCTCCCCCATTTGCCTTGATCTTTTCCAGGTATATTTTAAAACAATACAGATTTGGCAATTACGGGTAGCCATTTCCATGGGTAGGCGGGTAAGCGGTTCCATACTTTTTCACCCGGTGGGTGAAAAAGTATCACCTGTTCTTAGTCCTACATTGTGTAATCTATACCTGTACAACCCGTTCTGTAATCATAAAGACATGATAAACTCAAAATAAACAGAGACATTCTACAAACATGATAAATACAATCAACACAAGTTCACTCATTCCATACATGCAGAGCTCAACAGAACGTGTGCAATGGACACGTAATTCACACAATTAACGACATAACTACAACAGCAGTACAACGTTCCCACGACATACAAGACCTAAGTCATTGCTTGTGTAACAGTAAAAAAATCAACAAACACAAAGTATCCAGTGACATTAATTTACAAACATAATTATATAAGAATAAAACTAAGCTGCTAACAATCAAATAACACTCAAGTACACGTAAACCTCTGCTAACAATTTCTTCTGTAACGTACGATTATATTACGTTGTTGGGTTGATTAGATACACAGTGTTTAGTGAGTTTCATATTTATTTAGTAGTCTTGGTTACAGTATAGTTGGTCGTTGGCATTGTCGTAGACGTTCAGACGGAGCTTGGAGCAGAGCGGAGAGCAGAGTGAGGGCCAGAGTCGTGAAGCTCTATGTGGGAGAGCGTGGCGGCTCGATTGGGAATCGTGAGTGTCTAAACTCGATGAGGAGCGAGAGCGTTGTAGCTCGATGCGGTCATAGTGGGGTCGATTAGAACTATACACGCCGAGTACTACATTCTTGCGGTTGAAGAGGTGAGGTAAATCCAAAGCGTCTGTACTGGAGTTATCTGACTCAGTGTGAAAATTGTACTGTTGGCTATTGATTGATTGATTGATTAAGCCACCCAAAAGGTGGCACGGGCATAAATAGCCCGTGAGTGGTGGCCCTTTTGAGCCATTAGCAGTATCAAGAGCTGATACTGGAGATCTGTGGAGGTGCGATTGTACCTTGCGTGACGGGAGATGTCTCCCGTCTGTTGGCTATTCTCATATCACTTGCTTGGTGACTACATTTGGTGACTACACCTCAGCTTCCTCCAATAAGATAGGAGGATGGAAGAACTGTTACCTGTAATTAGGGAGAAGATTATAGCTTCTGTAATTAGTGCTAATTAGTTATGCCATTAAGATAATGAGAGACTGGAGCGAGTATAAGGTTTACTCGCTACACTTCATTGTTGTCTTCTTACAAACATCGATATATATGAAAGTAACAGATATGAATACGCAGAAATAAAATTGTTACAGAAAATATATTACAGCCAAAACATCGAAAAATATACAATTTAAACACCAATCTCAAGTACAATACATTAGGACTAGAACCCCCAAAGCCTCTTATAAATTAGTATCCGAATCAGAAGGAAAAACACTGCATTAAACACTGAAAATGGTAACAAATATTCTGATCAAAGAGAACGTTATTTCAAGTGAATTTGGGAATTACAGATACTATAATTTCACATGTTACAGTAGCCATGAGGTCAGTAAGAGACTTGCATGTTGTTGTTGTTGTAGATTTAGCTACTCAGAACGAAGGGTCCATGTAGCACGGGCTATGGTGAGCCCGTAAGTCGACTTGCAGTCAGTGCTTACAGTTGTGTGTAAGGTCCATTTCCCCTCTGTAGCACTTGCTCTCCCCTCTTTCCCCACTCACAGTCATGTGTTTCCCTTTCTCCCCCACCTGTGACGCCTGTTCCTCTGCCTCCTACACCTGTGCTCCATTCCCTTCCACCACGGGCTCTTTTCTCTCTCCCACCTTTTCCTTTCTCTGTTCCAAGCCCAACCTCTTGGGCTGGACGGTAGAGCAATGGTCTCCCCCCACTGTCCCATTCCAAATCCTTATCCTGATCCTTTCCAAGTGTTTTATAGTCGTATGGCTTGGTGCTTTCCCTTTATAATTCTCTCCCACCTATTCCTTTCCCTCTCCCACTTATGGCACTTTGTAATGTTACATTGATGACACAAACATACAGTATATTAACTAATATATATTTTATATAACTTGGTTGCAGAGTTGACCAGACCACACACTAGAAGGTGAAGGGACGACGACGTTTCGGTCCGTCCTGGACCATTCACAATCGACTTGAGAATGGTCCAGGACGGACCGAAACGTCGTCGTCCCTTCATTTTTCTAGTGTGTGGTCTGGTCAACATATTTCAGCCACGTTACTGTGACTCCTCGCCTGCATTTGGTTGCAGAGGTTGATGATGCTCAACCCGTCACAACGCCACACCACCTGCACGTTGTGACGGGGTGAGCCGTAGTGTGCCAATGTTGATTGATAAAGATTAAGCCACCCAAGAGTGGCACGGGCATGAATAGCCCGTAATGCCATTGTTGAATCCTGGTGTATGTAGTGGAGGTGCGTGGCGGCGTCTGGCTGGCGGTCCTTGTTTAGTTTAGTTCATTTATTATGCACCCCATACCAATAATATGGGCGGTAGTGGAAAGGGTTACAGAGGCACATAATGGGCTCAATATTCCTGTCCACCTGACTGATGGGAAAATGATTTACCTGAGGGCCACTAACCCTGGTGGCCTCGACGAGGACAGGAGGATAGATCCCCCCCCCCCCCATTTGCCTTGATCTTTTCTATGTATATTTTAAAACTCAACACAGTTTTGGCAGTTACGGCTTCGGCGGGTAGGTAGTTCCGTGGATTAATAACCCTGTGGGTGAAAAAGCATCTCATGTTCTCAGTCCTACATTGTGGCTTGTTGAGATTGAAACAGTTGCTCCTTGTTTGTGTTACATCTGACCTTCTGAAGAAAAAATCCAGATCAACATCCTCTAACTTGTTCAGTATTTTAAAAGTTTCAATAAGCTCAGCCCTGTCATGTCTGGTCTGCAGTGTTGTTAGCCCTGTGGCCTTCAAGCGTTCCTGATACGGGAGCTAGATGACTTAGCTCTGGAATGACTTTTGTTGCCCGGTGTTGCACCTTATCCAGAGCAGCTATGTCCTGAAAATGAGGTCTCCATCCTCGGATACAGTAATCCAAATGGGGGCGCACCAGAGATTTATACAGTTGAACCATTACCTTCTTTTCCTTATAGTCAAAAGTACGCTTGATTATTCCAAAAGTTTGGTTAGCTTTTCTGACTGCTGCTTTTTGGTTAGCACCCACCTGTTGTGTAACTGTTAAGTTATTTGGCTTCTGTTGGATGCCAACAGAAACTGCTTGGTTTCTGTTGGATATATCAGTAGTCGAGGACCGGGCCGCGGGGACACTAAAGCCCCGAAATCATCTCAAGATAACGTGAAGAAGATAAGATAGTGCGTGGAACACCTGGGAAGATGTGGTAAGTGGGGCTTGCTGCAGATTCTGACATTTGTAATTTAAAAATTAAAACAATGCAAATTCAATTAAATACTGTATCAAAATATATGTGTGCGTCATTTTTTTCATAGCAGTGTACTGCTACCATGTTCTTTATGAGGGATTACACAGCACAGGTCAATGGCTAGCTAGGTTAACCTAATCCCCATCTTACATGCTGGTTAGCCATTCATGAGGCGCGAAACCTTTGTTAATAAAACAAATCAACTTGCAAACTTTTGATATCTTCTAATATCCGCGAGTAAATGAAATAGTTATCAAGCTACAGGTATATCATACATTTGAAAAAAAGAAGAAATGTAAGTGCAGTTTTTGTTAGTTTAGTTCATTTATTATGCACCCCATACCCATCTTGTGGGCGGTAGTGGAAAGGGTTACAGAGGCACATAATGGGCTCAGGGACTGAACCCTACAATTCATTTAGCTAAGCAAGTTACAATCTTGATGAACTAGTTACAAAATTCAATATAAGTCGTCAAAATATATTTTAAGGACATTTTGAAGTAGAGAAAACAAAATAATGAACCACGAGTGGGAGTTGCGTGTTGGACGCGGTCGTGTTTGGGTGTGTTTTGAGTGAGCTCCCGCGGAGGTGGCCGGTGTCATGGCGGCGGCTGGAGGCGCACATGGCGTCTCTCGTACAACCATCGACGATACCTTAGAAGATGT